TTGATAAGAGAGCTGCTGCCGAGCACTGTTCTGGGTTACAGCTGTCTGCATATTCTACATATTCTACATATTCCCACCAGTAGCAGGGAACTGGGGGTCTAAATATTCCTACATTTCAGAGCTGGCAGGGAACTGACAGAAAGAAGATGAGACATGTGATGAGGTCTCATTCCTCAGATATATACACGAATTAGAGGACTATTTTAGGAATCTGCAGGGTCCCATTATATACTTCAGGCAATCTCTAGAAGTGAGTAGTGACAGCAAAACGTGGGACGAGTAGTGATATAACAAGTGACGAGGAGGACGAAGGTACGGATATTGATTTGTCTGCAAAGGTATTAAGACTGATGATGCAACAACTAACTCGAAATAATAACTGTATAGAAAGGTATCTGCGCGGATACCGTGATACGACGTCATGAACAATGTCAGCATCGGTTTTACTTTGAAATGATGCTAGCCGCACGGTATGTAATCTTATTGATCGTCATGAAGTTACGCAGCTTCGCAGGAACAGATATAGATCAGTGAAACTGAATATGCCTGTAATCGACAGAGAACGAGATTAAGCCATGCATAACAATTCAAATCTCATCTCAATTTGATCTTACAGCAATACAATATTTGGACAATTAAAAAGGACCATGCACAATTATCTACATATTACACGCATGCACAGTGCACACTTTATGTGCTAAAAGAAGGTATTGTAACCTAGATACCAGAGACAACCCACCAGCTCTGTTGGTATAAGAACGTCTAGCATCATGGTTGGTATATTAGCACCGAGTTATACATATAAGTATATGCACACTTCCTGATCTTTGGTGAGAGCCGCAGAGAACTATATTATTATTAAGAAGTAACTCCTGGAGTTAATAGTGCTTATAGTGCGGATTGTACAAGTGTTGCAGTTATATGAAGTTGGTGGATTGGTGGGAGTCTGGCTACAAGTGTGGGTTATTACTAATGATATACAGTAGTAGACAGCTCTGTAGGGAGGTTCTCTAGGGAGTAGGATATGAGACTGCAACCTTGGTAACAAACACGTATAACATAAACTTATACTTAAATTTACAGCAATTCCTAACTCCTAATTACCAAGGTTGAAGGTATTGAATTAGAACTGGCTATAGAGACCGTGGGAAAACTAGAAAGAGAGAAATTCTTTGAGAAAGTGCCTAGGTATAGTACATTTATATTATTGCTTTTACTTCATTCAGAGCATACAACGAACATTCGACCAAGAATTAAGTTCCAGAATGTCTAAACTGCGTAGCCACTAGTCATTGATGATGGACTGTTTGATGGATCAGAATCAAGGGTATAAATTATGAAAATATTGAAATCTAACGAAACTGCACGTTTTCTCCTTTTTTTAAATTTCAGTCAACTGAAGCTATATAATTCCACAACCATCGCCTAAGCAACTTCACATCGGTCTATCGCTTTGAAATTCGCTTAAATAATTATAATCGAAAATGTTTGAATTAAGATAAGCTTCCAAATATGTTCATTGTTAATGTTATTTCGATACACGGTAAAAATTTACCTGACGCGAAGATAGCTTTGCAACTGACGTTATATTTATAAATCAACACAAGACAACATCAAGAGTAAGACCTCGAATAAGGTTAGGACAGGTAGTACACACATCGTGAGAATGGGAAACTTGTTTACTTATAACCTTGAGCTATGGCAGCTAGAAAATCTGGGGTAAGCGAGATTTTGGCTTTAATCAACTAGCTAAAACAGAACACTGCTCAATATACTAAAACTTGAAAGTGAAATTTCGGGTAAAATAAATCTTAATGCGGAATACAATTACAATTACACAGTAAATTCATCTTACATCTGTAATCATGAACTGAAGAATAATTTTATGAACAAGTAGATATCGGATAACGAAGCGCAGGGACGGTGAAACGAATTAGAAAGAACATTTTGAACTAACTAAAATTTCATGTCTCACTTTTCACGCAGCGCGTACCGCCAAGCAACGTGATAGTATCAATAGCACGTGCAGCGCGGCTCAAAGGGAGCATCAGCATTAATTAGCAATGACAAACGCTCCAAAACTTTATATTAAGCTACGAGTCGGAGTACGACGCTCTTTGTCAAACAAAACAATACATTACCAAGATTCAAAAGCTCCACAACAAAAACTACAACATTAAATAATAAATATTATACACCACAATTTTATGGCGGGATCTATATGCTATACAACATCACGATTAACGTACACTTACACTTACACACAGATCAACATACGCATGAAAGTTGAGGTTGCCTCGATCTGTAGCCCGAGTGTTGCGCAAGGAACCACGTGACGGGAGTTGAGCATCCTCAGTGGCTGATACACGAATAATGATCCTGGATTGGCTGTGGTGATCTGATTTGAGTTGAGAAATAAGTCGGTTAGTGGACAAGAAAATGAGTATTGGCATGGCAGCACTAGTCGTTCATTAAGGGTCACATGGATGAACAGGAACAATGATAAGTTTGAGGGACGTCTAGAATCGAATGGAGCTAGTGCTTATTGAGTCGGATTGTAACACAGAATAATCAATGATCTTGGTCAGTGGTCTAAAGCTTGGCATGAGATCTCATTTGTCGCCGATCACACGGATTAGAAGATAAAATGGCAAAACAAAGACGAGGTTGGGAAATCCATCAATATAAGTGCTGCAGTTGATGACGGCACACGCGAGAGCGTTCAACCATCCCGTCCGCCAATGCGTCTACACAATGACGACGTGGAAATGGTTTGATAAACTTGGACCCATTAAATGAGGTTGGTGTGGCCATCAAGTGGGTCTGCTGGCGCCACACGCCCTCCGGCAGTCCAGCAGCTCAGAAATGAAGTTATATGGAGCCAAATATTGTATTGGCTTAGGCTATTGTTAATGTCTATTGCTAGACATTTCTTTTTGTAAAATTGAGAATGATCAGTCTTCAGACGTTGCTAATGGTAGAGGAGCTCGGTAATTGACCTTAAATTAAACAGCTCGACACAAATACAAGTAAAGACCAAAACATACATTTTCACATTTATTTGATAGTTTGGATAGTCGGATCAAGCTAAATGTTATTGAATTGTGTTTGGCCATTCAAATTACGTCTGTCCTGAAAGAATTAGAACTGTAGCTTCTCAGATGACCGAGATATGAAGCATAACGAGTTTATTCATTACGTGTGATCAGGTGATTGGTTTACCTAATCACGTGATAAGGTGACCCCGTTAACTACCCCGTTAAACATTATGGGAATTGTTAAGGGCTAAGATGAGAAGTACGGACTCGTTTAGGGGGAAAAGTACGTACTTGTACGCAACTTTGAAAAGTCCGACTCATACGACGTACGATTAAGATAGAATTTTTTTGTTTTTGAATTATTATCATCAGGGCCGTTGTAAAATGTAAATGTAATTGTTTGCCGATGTTAGAGAAAATATGCCGTTCGCGAACAAATTGAACACACAATTCTTAGATCAGGCAGGCATTTAAATTTAAAAGTAAAACAAAAATTACTAGACAATTTACTTATTCAAACAGCTTGTTTAAAAGCTGTTTTGAAAACGCTCAATATAAGTCCGTAACTTGCGATTTAGAACTCTTCCATTAATTTCTAGAAGGAGAACTTTTCAGTAGAATTGAAAAGTACGTACGATACGAGTAAATTGAAAAGTCCGACTCATTCGTACTTCTCATCTTAGGTTAAGGGTGCCCAATTAAGGCGTCGTTGCACGGTGTCACATAATCACCCAGTCAATTTTGTTAACGAGATACACAAAATGCTTGATAACTTCGTCATTTCTAATCCGTTTTGCCTCATGTTTTCAGATCATATGCAACATTTGATAATCTACCGTCTCTGAAAAAATTAGGCGTTCAGCATGTTCAGAGAAAACAATATAGGTGTTTTAATATTGAATGGGCGTGGTCTAAAATATTCGAATTTTGACGACGGAATCCTCGAACCAGTAAGTACAGTATGCCATCTGCAAAGCAACAGCTCTCAAATATAAAACACGGCGGAGGTATAGGACCCAACGTTTGCACAATGACTTTTGGCCCACCCTGTATAATGTACTGTTACAGTACATTCAGTATATTGTATTGTTACATACATGTTGGCAATAACGGTAGCTATGTACGTCCCCGAACGAGAAAAGAGAAAAACCACATGTGAAAACTGAAAGGTGTTATATTGTAGGTACTGACTATTGTTATGGATACGTGGTCGATTGATTATCATCTACGAATAGAAGAAGTGTACATTGTAGTTGTACACTGTACACTGTACACTGAACAATGTGTAATAATATGTATCAACTATGTATTTAGTATCGTATTGTGTCCTTATTTCCTATCTCATCTCATTGTTTTAATTTTTCGATGAATTTTTATCAGAATTAATATTCATCATTTTGGTAAAAGAAGGGAAAAAGACAATTTACAGAAATTCAAACTCAAATTTATTCGAATTTTACAAGACACAATCTTCAAATTCGGTGAACTAAATTCTGTTCCAATTATTCAACGGTATTCTATCTGGGAATCCTAATTAAATTTCAAGAACCTAGATACACAAACGAACAACAAAATATAAAAATTAAGTAAGCAACGCACAGGAGGGGCTAAGTGCAAAGAAACTGCTGCTAACTGCTGCTCACTGCTGCTCACTGCTGCTCACTGCTACTAACTGCTGCTCACTACTGCTCACTGCTGCTCACTGCTGCTGTCAGTGAGCAGCAGTGAGCAGCAGTGAGCAGCAGTGAGCAGCAGTTATATGCGTGTCTTTACTGGGCAACGCACGCTGCGCGCAACTGCTGCTCACTGCTGCTCACTGCTGCTCACTGCTGCTCACTGCTACTAACTGCTGCTCACTGCTGCTATGGGCGCGCGCGCGACAGCAGCAGTGAGCAGCAGTTAGTAGCAGTGAGCAGCAGTGAGCAGCAGTGAGCAGCAGTTTATTTGCACTTAGCCCCTCCTGTGAACGGTAGTTTCTAGGAATTTTAATAAGCTTAATTTTTTTACAAGAAATCCTCATTATGATCCATGAAAGTTTGTCTGTATGACATAATATGTGATATGAATCTAGCCTGTATTCGAGATTATGATTATCAAAGTTTGGGCTGCTATTTTCTTCACGGTTATCTCTTCTCAACTGTTCTCTGTCAATAATGATTTGATTCCTACAACTATTTAAAAAAACCAGAATTGAACACGATCAAAAATAGCCAACTCCACAGCTTCATCCTTCTCTCATGATAAGCGAGAACCTCATACAAGCTGGGATGTAACTTCAATGTCCATCTCCCTGGCAACCTCCCTAGCAGCCTCCCTGGCACGAAGACTTTTTAAAAGTCAAACACTCTGCTCCAGTATCAAAATAAATGAGCAAGCAAATCTTACAATCCAGAATCTAGATGGCTTATCATCATTGATAGCCCATTAAAACTCTGCCTCACAATGTTGAAGAAGTTGCGGCAGTCCCACCCAGGTTTTCCCGGAGTGGCCGTGGTTTCTTTCTCCGTCTAAACGATATACTCAGTCTCCTAGCTCTACGAGCCAAATTATTCTGAGTCTTCAAAACTTTGGGGAGCTTGTCACCGAATATCTTCTTTCTTAAAACATAAGCTGCAATAGCCGACACGAAGCATGAGTCCACATTAGGTTCCAGGTGTAACCAATATCTCATAGAGTTCATTTCTTTCTGAATAGTGGCGATTGGAAAGTTGCTGGTTTTGGTTCTGATCTTCAGGATGTTGCCCCACTCCCGGTGAACTACCAGGGACTGTTTGAGGATGGGGAGTGGTGAGTTGGGGGAGTGTGTGTTGTTGGGAAGGGAGAGGACCATCTTCTGGTCTTCTGGTGTCACCAGACTCAGCTGGTACTTTACCCTGGGGTAGTACAGTAATTAGATTTAGCTGATACTTCTGCAGTTGTTGTTTGGAAACACTTAGTAACCGCTGGCATATGCTTCAATAAAAAGATATGAAATTGTGGCATATTAATCGACTATGGTGGTATACTAAAAAGTGGCTGGGGATATAAAGCCTGGTCCCAGTAAACGAAACTGAATGATGGATTTATCAATCACCATCATCAAAATATGGCAATTAGCTATTCAAGACTTGAAAGTATACCATGTACATTTTATATTATGGGGAAAATCAGTGTTAGAGTGATCAATAACTATAATCTAGAATTACCTGCTAAAGGTGTTTCCTTTCCTAATCCTAGCTATCTGGCCATCTTTAAAGCCCTCTATTGTATAGTAGATACCAATAGGGTCATCATCGTCTAAATTTTGTATAGACCCAATACTCACGATGTCTAACATTGACCTGTGGCAGGGGGGACCAGTCAGTATTTTAGTGTTACATTTCTGAACACACATGAACACCAAGTTACTTTAATAAAAAACGGATTCATTATATCAATTATTCTATTCGATTTCGACACAAAATTTGATCCTTCAAATTGTAAACCGATCAATAATTCACGTGTAAAATTGGTATGATTTACCTGTAGTTTCTACAAACAATTCCCTCTTGACTTAAAACACACGAGAACTGGATTTCACCGTCATCATTATCCGTAATAGTGCACTCACATTTGTCACTTAGGCCGTCTAGCATCAGAGTTCGTCTAGTTTGTCTTACGTACTGCTCCGCTGAGAAAACATATCCCATCAGACATAAACAAGTTTCATCTTTTTTATGATTTCTGGCAAAGGAAGTATAGCTTCTTGAGCCGCGCTGCACGTGCTTCTTGTATTGATCGCAAGAATGTTTTCGTTGGGATAATGACCAATTTCGTGGCAAGAAATAATACTTTTTGATCTTATAAGTGACCAATAACGTAATGAACTAAAGACTTGGAAGAAATTTATAATTCTATAAAATCAGGTAAAACCCGCTTACAAATAACGATTAAATTTCATTTCCTACAGCTGACCAGGAGCTTCATAATATTCAACATATTGCAAATATTCACAATGACACTCACTAACTCTCAGAAAACGTAATGCTATATTTTGAGATTGCAGACTGAACCGAAGTGATGAAAGCGTGATAGTGTGTATGCAGGACGCAGTGTCACTGTTTTTGCCACCTACTTTTGGGTTAGGGTTCACATATTACGTAATCACTTTTTGGCAAAACGTTACCCTCCCTTTTTACACAAAGCTATTGTGCTAAAATTTACACTAGCGTAATCATTTTGAAACTCCCTCCCCCTCAGTGATTACGTAATATGTGAACAACCCTTACTCCCCTAGGAGTGAATGATAATGTGGCAATAATGACACCCCCACTTCCAATAACATAACGTTGTGATTTGTGACCCCCTTCCCCCCCCCCCCCCCCCCCCCCTTCCACTCCTTCTCCCCTGTGTGCTTGATGTTTATCATGCTTACCTTGCACTGTCGGACAATCGAAAACATACTCGAAGTCGACGGCCCTGAACATGAACTCATATAGCAACCTTCTAAGAGTGGAAAATGCTGATTAGCAAAGTTTAAGATAAAATGAAGAAAAACAAATAATTTTCGAGAAGACGAAAGCGTCGCTTATTTAAAGGAGGCGATACATATTTGCTTGGCAAATCCTAGCAGCCGCAGTACGTGTGGCACTTATAAAAAATGTGTATTTGACGATGGCATGTATATTGTACATGATGATGGCATTTATCTGATCGAACAAATGTGGTTTTAATCATAACAAAATGTGATTCACCTCAGAACAAATATGTGTTTCCCATCATGTCCTATGAGAAGAAACATGTTTCACAAGCAGGGAGGCCACCAATTACTATTTACTTATATCAGTAGAATTTAACGACTGAAAGTTACCATTATACATATTATCATTATAGTATACGTCATATCATGAAGTGCATGTTAGCCTATTAAGTAAATTTATGTACTAGAAATCCCAGCCGATCAATCACAAGACTGACAATACGAAAAGGGATCGAATGAAAAGACATGAGGTGATCGCTATTCGCTGTTAAAGTGTCAAAATGACAGTATATCGGAGTCAAAATGACGAGTAATAAGTGAGAATAAGACAGGTGTTATCAGCCCAACAAAACGTGATAATATCCAGGCAGATAAAACGTTACATCAGACAGTGCTAACACTACAACAAGATACCACCCAGATCAGGTGACATCCCACGTACCATGAAGCTGGCAGAAAGTCGAAGTGTGAACTAGAAGTGGAGTTTGTAACCTCAACTACAAGATATTGTACAAATATACCCCAACTGTAATAATAAGATACACACAAATTACTAAGTGACCAGAGAGAGAGAGAGAGAGAGAGAGAGAGAGAAATATATTGGCTTCCTATCAATCATGTGTAGGGTAGTTGATATCTGACGAAGTTACCGTAGTGCTGATAGCTCGCTGCTAGTGCTATATTTATACTATATATTTATCCTGGTATATATTTGTCTAAGTTAGACGGGTCACGTGACTGAAATTAGCACGTGCTATTGGTGATATTCCGGGCAGCTTGTATGGTCGAAAATTAACGAAATATTCTAAATATTCGAATGTTTTCCTTTTTTGAACTTTCAGTGCTGGATTTTTGAGATTCTAACATTCGGAGATTATTTACTTGCAAAATAGAGTATTAAAGCCGATGAGAGGATAACATATGGTGATGGAATTTTCCTGAATCAAGGAATAAAACCGGGCATTTAATGACAAATCCAACTATAATAGCGGTATGTGGGTCAAACAAACATGCTACTAAGATACCAGGCGGGAAAACAGTGGCGTACCGTTACGACACTGCTAGAAAAGCTGGAGTATTTCGATGACAAAATGAAAGAGTCTCAATTCTTGGAGAAGCCAGCACAATTCACCAAATTATCTAATACGGCCCTGATAACTCAGGTGTACAGCTACTAGAAGTAACTCACAGCTACTACAGATTACTTTACTCATCGACAAAAACGCTGCTGAAGAAAAATTCGTGGAATCTGAAAATGCGGGTCAAATTTCGGTGATCTAGCAGTCTTTACCAATTACCTGTAACTACTCAGACAGTATAGTATATGTATTATACAGCTCGCACTAGCTGAACATACCAAGCTACAAATATTGAATATTTAGTTTAAGTACTTGTTGAAATGAGACAAATTAGTGACATTTGTCTGCGGAGGAACTGCAGAATATTAAGCAGCCCCGAGTTGCTTATTTCGTTCAGACACTGCGGCAGTAACTTTAGAATCCGCCTGTCCATATTAAACAGAACGATTAGTACTTCAATGGATCTATGGCATCGTATTCATAAGAATAGATTGTGTTTTACAGAATAGTGGCCCTGGCTCACTGGCTGGAAGCCAGATGCATTCTTGAAAACCTATCTCGAGGATATGATAGTATTTTTAGCTGTTACGTGAGAATGTTTACAGATATTAACATACTATTTTATGATTACGCATTTAAGTATTTGATGCAGCTGAAGCCCTGAGGGAAATTCCGACCAGACTGACTTGTAACCATCGCTGAATTTTCAGACTGGACAGCCTAAATACTCAATAAAATGTCAAAGTTCTTGAAAATATTAATTAAGTAACAACAAGAGTAAACCAGCTAAAAATACTGAAAATGCACTAAACCAACACCTCCACGCAAACAAAGTTGAAGCTATAGCTACTATTAGACACACAACACATACATTATATACCCCTAATATGCTGATATAATGTCTGAGTACGAAAAACCTAGTTTACACTCTCGCCAACGCTGCACTTTAACAACTATCAACAACATCAACAACATCAACAATATCAACAACATTAACAACATCAACAACATCAACAACATCAACAACATCAACAACATCAACAACATCAACAACATCAACAACATCAACAACATTAACAACATTAACAACATCAACAACATCAACAACATCAACAACACCAACAACATTAACAACATTAACAACACTAACAACATTAACAACATTAACAACATAATCGGTTTTTATAGTACAGGTTACAAGCTGCAGCTGCATTGTGTAGGGGGAGGCTGGGTTAAATATCGGTAACATGATAGTGTTGTGGTCAGAGTGGGGAGCAGTATTTATTATGGGGATAGTGTGGTGTAGAGGGTCAGTCATCAGTATTAAGTTCTTATGTTACCTATATTGTTAGAATGGTGGGTGTGAGTCCTGTAAAGTACTGGCAAAAATTGTATTTCTAAACTCATCGACAATTTAAACGTCGACCAAAAACGGTAGAAAAGCGGCCGGAGACCCAATCTCTTGTAGTTGTGCGAGATCTTCAAAAAACGCTACTTTTCTTTCTGATGAAACTTTTGCAGAACCACTCAAGTACTTGGAATAACATTGACGTCACGTGACAGTTGGGGAAGCATGTTCTACAAGTAGAATGGAGCCCGGAACAGGAAGCAAATTCACGTTTCTTATTCTATAAACTTGTTGAATTGAATTGATGAGCCATGGAACGATCAAGATTAAATAAATTGTCTAATGTTACCATGGTTACTACAGCAAGTTCTTGTCGCAGATGGTAGTTAATACATGTTATTCTGCTTCCAGACGACAGCTTGATTTTGATGACAGTTGGGGGGGGGGGGGGGGGGGGGGGGGGGGGGGCGGCGGGGGCACTGATAGGCCAATAGTAACTATAACTAACTGTATCTAACTAACTGTAACTAACTGCAACTACGCAAACTACAGTACGAGAAAAAATGTTTAATACGAAATGTGAAAAAAAAGTATTAAAATATCTGATCACTCATAAAAACAGAGACTAGACATTGGATTGACTACTTAGTATGCCATGGTGTCATAAAACCGCATCTCAACTACAAGCACTGTACCATCATAATAACATATTATTCTACTTCGTAGGGGCTGTAGTCATGCTCAAAATTACCACAGTAAGAGAAAGCATTGGAGCCCCGGCATTGAAGCAAGTTAAACTTTTAGTATTTTTCCAAATCTGGTGAAACGTTTTATGGCGTTTATGAATCAGACAATCTTTGGGAGTCTACTATGTCCGTCACACTGAGATAAAAGGAGTCAAAGTATTCTCCTCGTTGGAAAGACCACTTTGGGCACTAACCAATAAAGTGATCCATTGTCTCCTCTTCCACGAGTTAGTGTGATTATAACATATGATAACATATTATAACATATTATTACAACAAGTTAAGATCATAATGTGAGAGAGACCTCAAAATTCTGACAAAAGCAGGGAAGCCACTTTGTGAGTAATGTAACTACACTGAAATGCTGGTTTCACAAAATAAGTTGTCGTTATAAGGATTTCAATATCCCATGATTCACGGTAACTGAGTCATAATATCCCGTACGGAAGCCTTAGTAACGCCGTAATCAACTCATTTCAATGAGAACTATATATCTAGTTCCAAACTCAAACATATTTCTGATTACAAGCTCCACGGACATATATTTCAGAAAAGATATTGAACGGCAGTTCGAATAAGGCGATTTATTCAGTGCAAGTTGAAGGTTACTGACGAGACAGCTTAATTACGATAATTTATTTTCCTAGTTAACACTAAGAACAAATAAGTATGTAGTTAGTGCCAGTACAATTTCTGAATTTCTGGTAAATAAAAGTAAAGCTAGAAGAGAGGTAAGTGAAACTTGCTTCTTTACATGTGGAATGAGGATTGAGGAATGCATTATAATTTGATCGAACTTTAGTGGTGATAAGGGGTAAGGGGTAAGGGGTAAGGGATAAGGGGTAAGGGGTAAGGGCCAAGGGGTAAGGGGTAAAGGGTAAAGGGTAAGGGGTAAGGGGTAAGGGGTAAAGGGTAAGGGGTAAGGGGTAAGGGGTAAGGGGTAAGGGGTAAGGGGTAAGGGGTAAGGGGTAAGGGGTAAGGGGTAAGGGGTAAGGGGTAAGGGGTAAGGGGTAAGGGGTAAGGGGTAAGGGGTAAGGGCAAAAGCACTTACATTTTAGAGGAGAAAGAGCTACCAAGCCAGAAAGCTGCCTTTTGATATCCTTTTTAGACATTATCTGCCTCGGCACTGTTCTACGATAGGGTTTCTGATTCGGTTTGGTTCGTTTCTGTTTGCTCTGATTCCTGTTCCTTTTTCTTGATTGTCTGCTACCTGATTCTGTTTCCGAGGTCTGCGATTCCTGCGTTTCTGTTGGTCTCCACTTAAGAAAGACAAACTGAAAACAGAAATAGTTAATTTAAATTGAAATGACATTTCCTTATTCGAGGGATGAACCAAGAATTATATTGGTAATTCAACAAAAGATGTGTTTTACAATTTACATGGAACAAGCGAAACATCATACATCGATTACAGTGGTGAAAACAAACACAAGTGAACATGTTAAACAGGATATGAACATGTTAAACAGGATATGAGTATGTTAAACAGGATATGAACATGTTAAACAGGACATGAACATGTTAAACAGGACATGGACATGTTAAACAGGACATGAAAATGTTAAACAGGACATGAAAATGTTAAACAGGATATAAACATGTTAAACAGGACATTAACATGTTAAACATGACATGAACATGTTAAACAGGACATGACAATGTTAAACAGGACATGAAAATGTTAAACAGGACATGAACATGTTAAACAGGACATGAAAATGTTAAACAGGACATGAAAATGTTAAACAGTATATGAACACGTTAAACAGGATATGAACATGTTAAACAGGGTATGTACATGTTTAACAGGACATGAACAAGTTAAACATGATCTGTACATGTTAAACATGATATGAACATGTTAAACAGGATATGGACAATGGACATGTTAAACAGGATATGGACATGTTAAACAAGATATGAACATGTTAAACAGGATATGAACATTTTGAACAGGATATGAAACTCACTTCACTAAAAGCCCGAGAGATGCTACTCCGGGACTTCTCGGAACTTTTTGTTTCAGTCACGTGATCGTCTACTGTTAACTGTATGTCCTCCTGCTTTGTCAACTTGATGTAGTCCAATTCAAGCTAATGGGAATTAGATTCATTAATTAAAGGGAATATATGTATTGAGGGGCGAAGAAGATACTCGAGTAAACAGCACATATCATGAATTGATAGAGCGACCCAAATAAATATCCTCGAAGTGCCGAATAAGAAGGCTCGATTAAAAATATCTTCACTACACGTGGGCGTTATTAGTGTAAAATTAAGGTCCACGCTCCAGTGCCATGACAGAAATTGTAATAGAAGTGTCAGAATAATATAAGTCACGTGAACAATAAAGCTGTGGCTAAGTCTCATAAGGTCACGGCATGTGATCAACGAATGATATGATGATAATGGCAACAGTAAACTGACAGAATTCAGAACTAAGCACTGATACTTGATAGTTGATATTAACACTTAAGAGGAGACACAGCTCGAAATCGTACTTTTAGTCGATGTGACGATGAGTGTATTCAAGACGAAGATACTGGAGTCTGGCACACCGTGTGCAATGTGTATTGGTGAAATACGGTGGAAGTTGAATTATGAACTTATATCAGGAGTGTATTTTATCAACGACAAAGGTCACATGACTATCAACTTGATTAGTTTTTAATTTAAATTTCTACTTAGAATTTTGAATTTTGACTTTGAGCAATAAAGTAATAAAACAGCTACTAAAACTTTTGAAACAGTTAACAGCTTGAAGTCTTGAACAACAACATTAATAAATACTCTACTGTTCGAATGACACCTCTATTTAACAATTTTCAGGATAACTTTCAGGATAACTCAGAATAGTATATATTCAACTTCCAGAACTGCTATACAAGCGTATGGGGATGGAACAGTACGAAAAAGTAAACGTAAACTGATTGAAACTTACAGCAGCATTGTAGTCAAACTCATACTTCTTCGGCTGATGGGTAAAAGAGGCCTCCCTCATCCTCGTACCCTTCTTCAGATCTGTAAAAATATAATCATGATTGGAGAATGCCATGATGTATCGAAGTGCAATCAGCTTTCGCTATCATATTTTCAGAATAAATGGAATAAATGGCGAGTGGCTACAACATCCCCTCCCCTCTCTGATTAACAAACGTCAACTATCAAGTTCAGAATAGGATAATAAAGTTAGATTTACTTTGTGTTGTACAGCTACAAGCAAACGTTGGTTTAGTGAAGCACAGTTTAGTGTACATATGATGTGCGCTGTACAGTAAACTAACTGAATATCCCACACAGGAACTAATTATGAGTGAGAATAAGGAATATGTAACTACGCTTAACCTCGACAAAGTTTGAGCTGTGGGAAACGAAATTAAATAACAAAAAAGCCATGAGGATATGAGAATTGATCAGAGAGGAAACCTGATAAACGGTTTACAATCTAGTATGAACTGAAACTTTCATCAAATAATACACAATTAAGGCAGGCATTAACATAAACAGGTTTAGACTGTACTATGTGATTGGGGAAACCAGCAACATCCATGTTAGAGCACAAGTGCTCTGGACTCTTACTCTGGCCCCCATATAAAGTAATACCACTTTTCAAATAAAAATAAAACCTTTTTGTATGCAACTGGTGTCAGGAGAAGAGTTTTCATCACTACAAAGGATTTTAAAAACTTTAACAGTATTTAGACGTTGCTAGGAAACATGGTGGACTGAGTGACAAATTGCACGTGCAAACCGTAATATCTTTCCTATGTTAGAGTATATTAGCTTATTAGAAAGCGGGCCTGACTGTAATTACCTGGCGGCTCCGATTGAGTTGTTGCAGAATCACAGGAACAGCACTCGAGGACATGGATAGTCATTATTGACTGCAGAATAAAACACGTGTTATACCAACCTTTATAAAGGATATATGGGAATCTCGCAGTTCTCACATTCATATCATGTCAGTGAATACCAAAACATTGAAATATGATACATCTATGAATAATATCAAACGCAAAAAGCAGGAGGATCTTTGAAAGCACTATAGCTATAAGAAGTCAGAAAGCTGGCTTGCTTAGTCGAATGAGACCATGTACTGTTAATGAAGACTAAAGAGACCTATTGACCAAGTTACGGTCACTAAGAGAATTTAGGAAATGAGCACCTGTGCAAATGACAAACGATCTTTACTTGACTATCATCCGTAATTAACATAATTTGTGATTTGAATATTCTACCAATAATATGCGAGTAGGTTTTCCTATCTGCAATGGTCAAATCGGTCATACTAAGTAACGTAAGATTAATAGTCGAAAGAAGTTTCTATTCTATGTATAACTATAAGCGTGCAGATCATGTTTTAAGTGGCTTTTCATGTTCTACTAAATAAAACGTTTTGAATAGTGTAAACATATTTTCGAGCTACGTAACCTCTACTTATGCCCTCTGTCTAAAAACAGTTTTCCAGGACAGAAACAGCTCTTATAATTCTCAGACTGCGAGTCACCTTGATGAGCAGTACAGGAAGTTTCAAAACAAATAACAGTTGCGCACCTGTAATTTGTTTTGAAACTTGCAGTCTGTGTTGAGAATACTCTCGCAACAATTGAGCGCTCAGTGTTCACGACTTTTCGGAAAACTTTTAGTTTTGGGCGTAGCAACGTGTAGCAAGGAATATTGGGTGAGCCATGTATATTATCTAACAATTCTATTATGACAGAATGTGTCATCGGCCATTACATAATATACTTTGTGAAACTAATGTTGTTCATTATCACAAAGTGCAACATTACAGAATCAGAAAAAAAACTTCCCGGAGTTACCATGATCTCAATACGAAACGGTGCTTGTATCGTTATATCAAAAAACAAATGAGTTGTTCAAAAACAAATGACGTTACCATAAAAGGTTTAAATGTAATTCAATTTATTAACCGGCCGATGTAAAGTGCCTGAGTGAAAATATCGAAAGTAAAAGATCGAAATTTGGTTGTGAGTAACACTGATACTAATAAATATAATTTATTTTGCCTCATCACAACGTTTACAATTTTAATGACAATCATTAAAACCTGACCTTCTATTTTAAGCTCGTTAGTATCAGTATCGTCCTGAAGTTGTGGCAGATCGTCAGCTGACCGTGCCAAACGTTTTGATAACCTGGTCACTTTGGACCTGGCGTACCTCAGGGACTTCGTGAAGGTGTTCGACCTGTTGGGGTGAAAATAGTCAGATTTTATTGAAGGGTGATGGTAGCAAAGGGGTCTGGGGTTGTAACAATAAGAACATTATAACTTATTTGGGTTTCAACGAATGCTCATTCACTAGTTCACAATTAAAATCTGCGGATTGCCCACATTGTTAATGTTATATCAGTGAGAATTCTCAATAACCAAAATGTGTAGTAGTACCAACTACCAATAGGCAATACATTAGTGGAATTAACCGGTATCTATTTACTATTTCAATTAGTTTGCCATGCTTGTTTTAAGTAAAATTTAGAATATTTAACAATTTATAAGATAGATTCGGAGACCTCACGAATTGCTGAATAGTCCCAGACTTATCATCAGCAACTCCTTCAACCTGAACCAAAGAAACCAAGCCCGATTTCTCGATTTGATCGTCATTTGGGCCCAAAGTAATGTCCTCGAAAACCATCAAGCTGTACTTTAACTTAATCTTAAGCGACTATTTTCTTCTTAAACTGTAAACATAATAATTCAAGAAAGATGGGAAGCAAAATTAACAAGGGAAGCAAAATGGAGCAGTTAATATAACTTGGCTACTTTTCACTTTTCAGGATCTATGATGTATGAAAATTCGCTAAAATAACAGGTAAAAAATATAATCAGACTGCGATTAAAGATTTACCGCATAGATTGTAACAGAATAATTCTCATGAAAACGATTAAAATATTAATTAAGCCAACACAATCGATAGTCGATTATTTATGTAAAAGGTATAATCACAGTTGTTAAAACGATCCCCAGACGGGAACATAGTGTTTTAACACCGCCAGGAGTATCATGGACTGTGGACAAACTTGCACGTGACACACTTGCACAAGACACACTTACACGTTACTCTCGTCTACTTATCAAAAGAAACTTGTGGCAAACCGTTTAAAGAATTTTGCCAAATTTAGGTAGGTTAAGAGCTTTTAGCACCAATTTGAAAGTGTTTTGCTGGGACTGCAGTTGAGATTTTCTATAATTAATCCACATTGTATTGTATTTAAGGGCCCCAAAAGAATATAAATCATTGGTCAATGGTCATGCATATCCCTTAAATTCAAGTGCAAGAAGTGGCAAAACAAGGGGGGGGGGGGGGGGGGGGGGTTGGGGGCATTTTACCGAATATGTGTATTATCCCGTCCACGTTAACGTTCAGTTGACGATAAAATATTTATGGGCCACAAAATGTTCCTGCAGGGGGCAAAAAGCTATAGTGGGCGGCAAAAAAAGAAGGCCTGAATTTTCTTCTTTTTTAAAATTTATTTTTAGGACATTTCTAGGACAAAATGTTAATCGGGCGGCACATAGGTACGATTCACCACTGAGTACGAGGCCATGTTGGTAGTGGCACACTGGTAGGTGAATAGCGATAAGAGGAAAGAGCAATGTAATGTAGAGAAGCAGCACATAAACCCTACAACATTCTCTACGACCGGTCCAGCATGCAGGAAACTACTATTACAGTTGTTATTGTTTGCTCGGGAGAGAATGATGCTACTTGTAGAGAATAGTCGGAAATAACACTTCCAACAATGACGGGGGCCACTTAATACACATACACCGCATACTGGGCACATAACTGCATATTAATTATGTAGTGCACCTGCTGCAAGAAATCAGCCAATCAAAAAAACCAACTATATAACTTGAGTTGAAATACAAACATACAAATTAAATATTACGTGATCGGTAAAGGGCATAATTTATTTAAGTTATTTATCAAAATTTACAATTTAGATTATTATTATATTAATATATTTTTATGAATATTTGTGATGATCTTATGTATCATTATGTGTTGATTCTATTTATTATTTGATTTATGATTTGATTTGTAAGGATAGGTATGTAAAAATAAAATCATGAAGGATGAAGGAGTTACTTACTCAATTAGTTTACAGATTGATAATTTGACGAAACATGTTTACTGGATAAGTTTTTTAAGTGATTGCAAATTCTTAAACTTGATTTCAAATTTGACACAATCATTGTTTAACTTAACTGCCGATAAAAATGAAAGCTAATTTCTTCTTAGAGATTGAATGATACATACTTGCTAGTTAGAGACTGCAGCCAGTGAACAGTAGACGTAGTCGTAGGTTGTATTACAAATGGAAGAATGCAAAGAAAATCAAATTCAGAAAATCCATCTAAAATAATGTGCAACAGTAAAAATCTTCACATTGTCATAATTTTAAGCATACATTTTATTGAAAATCTAAGGAGAGCTCGTCACAACGCGGTTCTCGTACATAATTAGCGCATTAAAGTAATTAGCATCTCCCACGGGCAAGGCCTTGTGAAAAAACCCGAACATTAATTTTCACTTTGATTAGGTATAGTTATACGGTTTAAGGGAGCGTTCATGGTTCACATATAACGTCAGCAATATTATGGCCAATTTTACCCCCATTAGGGGGGGTCACTCAATGCTGACAGTTGCTGACAGGGGCCCCCGCCCCCTAATGACGTCAGCATTTGCCAGACCCCCTCCCCCCTTGCCTTCTTAACCCCCTTACTTAATACTTCCCTCCCGTCAGCTAGCGAAAAGTGTAGGCAGGGGAAATTAGTGTGACTGATTTAAACATTTGGTCAGCAGAGTTCAATTTACCGAGGTTCTAATATTATGGAAATAAGTTTTATTGTTAATAAAAATGAATTTTGACAACAATTTTTGTTTCAAATCAATTTTATTAAAATTGATTTGAAACAAAAATTGTTGTCAAAATTCACGTATTTTTGCTGACGTCAGCAAGGCTCAGACCCCCTCCCCCTCGGCTGCTGACGTCATCTGTGAACGCTCCCTTACAAAGTAACTGAAATCAGGCGAAAAACGGCATGATCTCATGCTGATTGCTGAAAAAACTTAAAGTATGTGCTTTTGAAACTCAAATTTTTAAATTTCTCATTACCCTCGCTAGGATAAAATTTAATTATACGAATAAACAGGTATCACCAAGTGAATTCCCGCGGGTCTCATTGATAAGGTAGGCGATCAGTAAGTGTGTACAGTATCCACTCTTCTAAGTAGCGATAATTACTGTCCAGATGCCATTACATCAGAGTGGAAGGTTGCTAGAAGTAATTCTACCAGTATTAAACTGTTGAATGAGGTGATTAACAGGTGATTAAAAGACAAAAGATATCTTTTTCCCAGTACCTCCCACGAAGTCTGAGGATCCAGATTTGAACATTATTTGGCGCGGTCATGAGATCTGTATGCTGATACCAATATGACATCAATAATACTGATTTCTGATTTACATCCCCAATTCTTTATCATTCATTCCGCCGTAGAGTTTCCACTTTCCAGTAAAAAGTCGAGCATTAACACCCGCATTCTAACTCTGAGTCTGACCGTTCCCCGCAAAAGTCCAGACTCCTGCAACTCTAATAACGCAAGAAAATACCATAGCAACGCATAGCAACGCATAGCAACTTATAGCAACGCATCTTATTCTCCCCATCTCATAGACCGTGATCGTCCTACAAAGCTTCAACACCGATCAAGTCTCGACTTAATATTATCTGCAAAGTGGAACAAAAACACAAGATTAGCACATGATGAGCCCTCTCAGAAGTGGTAGAACGCTTTTTTGATTGGTTCGTGTTCAAGCTGCCAATAGAAGCTGACCGTCATTGTTATGACAACCAACGTCATCACTCCTCCGATAATGTAGAGGAAGTTCTGACGACCACCACCACTATGGAGCTGGGGTCCTGCAGCTCACATCGGGTCTCTGAAAACAAATCATGCCATTAATTAGATACTTTATTGATATTGGGGGTGGCGGTCGATATTTGTTTTGACGCATGACAGCGATTTTTAAAGTTTTTATCACAGTCACGTCTCAGAAAAATATTTGTCACTAGTCATTTAAAGTAGTTGAACCGATTAAGCTAGTCCACACTTCGGAAATTTAACGTTTAGCCATGTTGATTCCAGGGCTCAAGCAGCTTTGGAAATCGCTACCAAGCTCTGAAATCGAAAGCTTGGATCGAATTTGTTTTATATTAGCGGAGTTACAGTAGAGTTACAGCAGTGAATTCTCAAACGCAATATATTGTTCCAGCATACCTATCCCAGTTCCACATTGCTCAAGTTTAACAATCACATCATTGTTAGCAAAGTTAAAGAGCCTGTACCAGTCTCTGTGGACGTTGTACTCGAATACAATCTGGGGACGAGAGATATGTTAGAAACACTATAAATGCTCTTGAAAAAGCTGTACGAGTTGACAGATATAAAATAGGAGCATTCAATAGCCATTATCAACCAGTTACCAAGGTTCTCTCTAAAGAATATTGAGGATTAATCGTTAAAAAACAAAATACACATAAAAAATCATCCGTCAATAGTGAAAATCAAACCGATCCCAAGCAGCAGCCAAAGCGAGCAGCATATCCGTTGAGGGTTTCATTACAAGCAGGACTACACTCGTTTTCAGTGTCACCAGCACAGAACATGGTGAAGTTGTCGTAATGGGGCTTGGTTATTGGACTTTCTACGTCAAAGAAGGATATACAACTGTTCTCTGAAGAGTGTGGGTTGGTTAACGTGAGCTCATTCATGATGCCATGTATGATTATACCTAGAAGCTGGGAGAATCAAGCCTGTGGCATATTGCCAATATTATTTATTATTACCATACAACTACGTTATACTTAATACTTATCATAATAGTCAAATTCTGACTAACTGGCGTTAAGATAAGAGTCATTCCCCTTGAACTTGACTTGAGGAGGAGGAGTGATAGCACAAGCCACTCTGGTCATGTTTTTCAGCAGGGTCTCCAGACTAGCGTAGTCAGCTCCAGGTACGAACCTCTGGAGAGGTAACCCAGGCCAGCAACTCCCTGGGAAGATAGCAAGGTCAGTGGACAATTAGGATTTTCTGGAACTGTTACAGGTCGTCAATCAAGCTTAATTAAATACAGAATAAGGATGTCTCGAAATTGAGTGCGGAACATAGCTAAGACTAAAATTATATCGATATTAATTGAAATGAACTCACGGGAAAACTTGATAAGTTGGACAAAGCAATTGAATTTAACGTTGCAGAGAATATTGTATCCGTCATCCCAAAGACTCAGAAACGTCTTGATTCCTGAATGATGCAATGAATAGGAAGTCAGCGAAGACAACACACAAATTATACTTAAAGTTGACCGCAATTAGACATGTCCGCCAATGTCCGCCTATGTCCTGTCCTTTTTGGATTCTATGAGACAAGCGGACATAGACGGACGTGTCAAGAGAGAAGTCTCGATGATGACTATGTGTCAACAACATACCTTCGGTAAGATCATAAGCGTGGGGTTCATACACGACATCCTTTAGTGGTTCCATCATGTGCCTGATGAACTGATTACACATTGGCTCGTACCCAACCTGGGTGTTCTCCGTACAGTTTTCCCACGAGACCTGTGAAAATATTCTTAAAACAAGAGCACAGAAACTATACTCTTAATGCCTATCGTAGATATTTCGGTATAATTTCGATGTACAGTTGTAAGTCATTACGGTAAACTTTATTCGAATTTTGAAATATTGAAATAAGAAAAGAGGTCTCTAAAAGTAAAAGAGGTCTCACATCCTGACTCCACCCATAGTTCACAGTTCTGTTGACGATAACCGATCCTTTCGCTTTTTCTACTCCGTTGTCGTCCACCTGAAGAAATGATTAATTGTACAGTTATTTGATCAAACAACTGAGGATTGAGTGCTTGATTATGGTTTTATGGCGTGGTGATCGCAAATACTTTTAGTTAGTAAACTACTAGTACTAACTTCGATGACAGTGCTATCCCAAATCATGTGCTCGTCCAACCTCCTTTCCAGAGTAATGACCTCGCACTCAGATGTCTCTATCTTTATTGTCTGATCCTTCCTGGTGTTTATCACCTCCGATATCTGAGTGAGTAGAATTGTAAAATAGTGAGACTTTGGAGTTATTTTTGTGCGGCAGTGCAAAAGAGTAACTTAGAAGTACACATCAGGAGTCAGGACCCACACTGAAGCACGTCCTTACAAGTGCACAAAATGCGTTGATACAGAAAAATTCCAATACATAAAAGATTCTTCTAAACTTACTTTCATACCTCAAGACCGGAAACTAAGTTTTAAATATGTATGAAGTTAATACGATGTCTTGGTGATATTCTTTAATTCAGTTTATACTTTGATCAATCGATATTGTTTCGGCACAACTGTGATGACCCTAAAATACCCTTAAAATAGGGTTCCTGTTTATTTCACGGGCTTCAGTGAAGCCTTCACGAAAATGTGCAAAAATATTTTAACAATTCTAGTCATTTCTCTTTCAGGAAAAGTACACTGAGAAATTATCAATGAGGATTCGACCTTATTTGTTTATTCATATTTGCCACTTTTTTTGCCACAACTGGATCTCCTCGAGCCATCAATGTAAACAAAACAAATTAAAATGAAAGTCTATCTGAAATGAAAGTCTATCTGAAGTGAAAGAGAAACCAACCTCTTCAGAGCAGGTTCTGGTGTAATTGTAGCAGGTCATATTAATGGAAGAACAGTCAATCCTACAAGAGGTTAGTTCGTCAGAAACAGGGTCAAACGTGAACTGTGAATAGCAGGAGAAAGTAGAATTACATTGGTCCCTTAGAGCTTCTACGGCTGGGATGCACTCGGCATACACCTGGAGGGATAATTCAAATCATTAAAATCAGTGCGGTAAAAAAACATAAATGATTTTGTATAATATCACACATTGTTCGGTACCAGTTACCACAGCATGGTTTCCCATGGTTTTAACAACATTTACTAGTGCAGCAAATTGAATCGGTCGTGAATAAAGGGATCGAAATGGTGATTAAGTAACAGTGGAATTTGTATTTTGAATAGAAAAGCTAGAAAAAACGAAACAGTTAATCTTTACCTGCGCTGGCTCCCCGGTAGCCTTTGTCACTAAAGCAGTATAATCTGTTATCTCTGTTACACAATTTTCATACTTCTCTTCGCACACGTTTTTCCGGTCACAGCTCCTCAGATAGCTATCTGGTTAAACACAATTTAATGAATATTTTACAGTTTACATCATACTTCTGACTCACTGAGAAACCTTAAATTCTGCAAAGGAGATCAATACATTACTAACCACAAGTAATCTTCATGGTTTTATTGAAGCAGTACTGTTGAAACGTGCCACATTGGTAGGTTACTATCCCCTCCCTATTTGCTGGCTGTCTTTCACAGTGACCGTTTCGGAGCTGATCGTGGAAGAAGTTGTCACTGTCACTGGGGCAATCACGCAACCTGGAAAAGTAGATAGTTCAGATGGACGATTATTCATAACACTGCAACATTTTACAAAATCAAGCATCCAGTCGACATACCCGGCTATAACTATTTACTTGTGCCATGAGAGTATGTTGGTGGAATCATCAGATCTGATCATCTCCTTGTAAGAAACTGAAGCTGCGAGGAGGGGGAGGAGAAGGGAGGGGAGGAGGAGGGGAGGTCTGCAGGACATGGTCAATCTGAGGACCTGTAACTTAGTGCTGTCGGGTTAGATTTGTGAACGATCTTCTTCGTTTTAAGAAACACAGCACATATTTAATAGAGTGGCTAATAGTACGGAACCAGCACAGTTCCTTAAATATTGGAATGAGTGCATAGTACGGAACCACCGAACTAGCACAGTTCCTTGATCAAAGACAACAGGAATGAAGAATTATAGTAGACTGCAAAAGTTTGAAATAAGGATGAGTACAATTTGTCGTTAGTTGTGACAAATCAGTTAAGAATTACTAGGAGACTATCTCGAGTACTGATATACAAAACTAAATGATTTCAGATGTATCCGGTGTTCTGCTTACTATTTGGCGGAGAATTTTGCAGTATGAATATGCAAGAAGGTGTGATGTGGTGATTGACCAAAGCATGAGAAAACCTATCTGTACCTTATAATTACCCTGTTGGTTTAAATATTTGTTCTTTTCGTGGCGAAATGGAATTTAAGTGTTTTATTAATAAGCATATAACAACGAATTTAGAAAATGAGTGATCACTGATCACTTTAGAGATAGAGCTAAGAACAGAAAACTTGTTTATTGAAAATTTTTAATAATTTATAATAATGGCTGTATACACAGGCTATTGATTTTTAATATGAAAACTTGATTTGTTTCTAAATTGATGCTAACTGCACGATTGTCAAGTGTATTTAATGATCTGGTAATGTTCTCATCTACAAAAATTCCGCTCCGAGATTTGAGACGTGAGACACCTTAAGGGACCCGTCAAAAACTAATTTGGCTTGGGAAGAATTTCACAATATTATGCACTCTTTCGAAATCGAGCACGCCCTTCTTGGCAATAAAAACCATTCGTCACATTTGGTTTGGGGAGTTATGAAGAAACCACATGCCACATGTATGTACAAGCTCTATGTACATTGTACAAGCTCTAAATTGAAGCACAGAACAATCGGACAAACAAGGTCTCTAATTCGTGACAGTTGCTCTGTCGCGAGATTTTGGAGAGGAGACGTTCTGCAGAAGATGAAACAGTCGCACATTTACGACTAATTTACGACTGATTATGATTTGTCACGAAAGAAAATAAATGAGTGTGTCAGCAATGCATAATCGTTCAACAGTAACAGAGAGAACATTTGGATGAGAGATGGTATCGGGTAGAAGTTGAATAGATGGAAATAATACCAGATCGGTTACTAGTGGGGATTTTGGTAAATTTTCATATTTAAAATAAAATAAAAAACTCCGAAAATTGTTTTCTTCAAAATAACAATACTGGAAAAATAAAGCAACAATCACCTCACTGTTCATTCACAATGACGTGAACCCAATAGTTAGGCACAAAGTCCTCCTGTTCATTCTCCCTGAAATCTGGCAGCAGCCGATGCTCAGCTTCCTCTCCAAAAGCTGTTTTAAGCAAGGCAGTAAACCCTTTAAGAGTGTGAGGGTACATGGGGATGTTATTCAACTCTAATGTAGGAACCATCTTCCCATCTCTTTCCTTCAACTTAATATCTGAGTCCCCCTCCAGCTCAGTGCCAGATACGTCCATATCCGATCTGAAGATTATTGATATATCTTCATCCTCGACTAGATCTGCTTTGATATTGAATACTCTGTTTGAATTGTAGTAAATACTCCCATGTGATTTTGGAGGAAACGTTTTATGAACTAAAATGTAATCATAGTTCCGGTGATCAATAATTAATATCCCACCCTTCTTCAACAAATCCTTGAAGTTTTGAAGAGCTTTTAGGTGTGTATTGCTCCCTCCTTCGAAGTCGGGAAGTGCACAAAAGGAGTTACCAATACAAATAATGGCATCATACCCCAAGGCTGGGTGATCCACCTCAGCTGACTTCAGATCTAGCCAGTCTCCTACTCCGATCTGCCAATCAGCTAGCTCTTCTCGCTTCTGTTTCATCTCTTGGGCTTTCTCCAAGAAAACATCCAATGCATCAGTACTGACCACCTTGTACCCCTCCTCTAGCAACATCACACTGTCAATCCCAGTTCCACAAGCACAATCATACACCGTCCGAACAGATCGCTCCTCAAGGATCTTCAGGAGGGTTCCTTTGTAGTTTGAGAGTCTAGCGTCCACATCACCAACGTACAAATACCAGATTCTAGCTTCCCTGCCATCAGCACACGGCCGATCTTTCTTACTTTCATAATTCATAGTTCACAACCATAACAAAATACAAGGTAAAAAAGATTCAAGGATTGCTGAAGAAGTGTACTAAAGATAAAATAATGTTATTGAATGTCGGTGTAACATCACATAACTGAATTTACAGTGTGACAATTAAATTACCGGGGTATTCTATATTTGAAAATAAAGTAGCAGAAGAAATAAAGTATTCTTTGATAACTTACGTAATTCAAGTCAGAATTGCACAAAAATTTCAAAGATCAAAGATTAAAGATATGGGTTTAAATTTAAATTTCGTAAAAGTTTCGTAAAATTTCATCGATTACACGTCTTGCAGTTGGTGTGGCACGCCACTCCCTCTTTTTCAATATTGTAGTCATAAAATGAAAACGCTTAAAGATGGGAACTCACAATTTTTAGACACGTTTTAATTAATAATTGAAAACCTTTCCCAAAATTTCAAGTTGAATATCTAAAATTTAGCCGAATTATTATTAAGGGTCGTTCGCAGCCGAGGGGGGAAGGGGTTTCCAAATGATTACGCTACTGTAATTTGATACAATAGCTATGTGTAGAACTGATTACGGAGGGGGGGGGGGGGGGGTAAAAATTGATTACGTAATATGTGAATGACCCCTTAAGACCATTTTAAAATCTAGCGGATATTTGGTCTTGTCACTTAATCAGTGATATCGTCACGTAAAAGTTCGTTCGTCAAATTTGTTTATTCTTCTACTTGCCTAGTAAACAACCAGAACGGGACCATAACAAAATTCAATATAAACAAGGATTGTTAATTAGGTGAGGTAAAGTGAAATTTGTGTACTAACGATCAAATAATGTTATCGAATGTGTGTGTAACAATACATAACTGAATTTACAGAGTAACAATCAAACTACCGGGGTATTCCATATTTAAAAAGGAGTTTCAGCAGATATTAAATATTTTACGTAAAAGCTAAGTTCGTTTGTTACGTAAAAGTTCGTTCGTCAAATTTGTATCTTCACACGGAGTTATTTTTAACAGTGAGATTGAATAACGTAGCTACTTCCTACTTTGTGGCTTCAGTTCGAGCCTGTGATTAGTAGGATTGGAGTGATATCTTCTCAAGGGGATTAATAATAATATGTAATAGTTGTAAATTTGAACAAGAATCAAACTGGAGGAGAATTTTTGATTTTTGCAGCATTATGAAATATTCACGTTCTATTTAGTTGGTGAGATTTCATAAAGTATAATTTATACTTACTTATAAACTTATTTATTTATGACTTATGAAAAATTATCATCATTCAATGATACATTTCGATCACTATGTACATGTATCTATGTGTTTTTACTAAGTGATTTTATAGCCTATTTGAAATTGCAGAACAATTTTCTACATTGATTTCTGACATCTAGAGACTTAATTTAAACTGCAAGATTTTCAATTAGGGTTTTTGGTGAATTCTTCGCGATTTCATTAAAAATACTCAAACTAATTTCTTCAGAAAGAGCTTAAAACAACATAAACGGTAAAATAATACAATCACAATCTTATTAACATTGTTAAGATTCATTCACAATGACGTGAACCCAATAGTTAGGCACAAAGTCCTCTTGTTTATTCTCCCTGAAATCTGGCAGCAGCCGATGCTCAGCTTTCTCTCCAAAAACTGTCTTAAGCAAGGCAGTAAACCCTTTAAGAGTGTGAGGATAGCAGGGGATGTTATTCAACTCCAAAGTAGGAACCATCTTCCCATCTCTTTCCTTCCACTTAATGTCTGAGTCCCCCTCCAGCTCAGTGCCAGATACGTCCATATCCGATCTGAAGGTCATCTTAGCTGCCACTTCTTCCTTCTCGACAAGATCTGCTTTGATGTTGAATACTCTGTCCGAGTTGTAGTAAATACTTCCGTGTGAATTTGGAGGAAATGTTTTATGAACTAAAGTGTAATCATAGTTACGGTGATCAATTATTAACATACCACCCTTCTTCAATAGATCCTTGAAGTTTTGAAGAGCTTTTAGAAGTGTTTTGTTCCCTCCTTCGAAGTCGGGAAGCGTGCAGAAGGAATTGCCGATACAGACGATAGCATCATACCCCACTGCTGGGTGATCAACCTCTGCTGACTTCAGATCTAGCCAGTCTCCAAACCCGATCTGCCAATCAGCCAATTCCTCACGCTTCTGCTTTGTTTGCCGTGCTTTTTCCAGAAAATAATCAACTGCATCAGTACTGACCACCTTGTACCCCTCCTCTAGCAACATCACACTGTCAATCCCAGTTCCACAAGCACAATCATACACCGTCCGAACAGATCGCTCCTCAAGGATCTTCAGGAGGGTTCCTTTGTAGTTTGAGAGTCGAGCATCCACATCACCAACGTACAAATGCCAGATTCTAGCTTCCCTCCCATCAGCGTACGGTCGTTCGTCCTTACTGTCATAGTTCACTGCCATATTACAAAAGACTCGAAACTCACAGAGTGTTGATGAAAGACGAAACTCACAGAAAATTAATGAATAGAGGAAACTGTAAGTGGTAAGGTGAGCCCCTATTGTATTAGGTTTGTGTAGGACTAGGAGACAAGAATGTTATTGTAATCGAATGTGGGTGTATCAAACAAACCGAATTTACAATTTAATAGTGTAAGAATCAAAGTATCGGAGTATTTCATATTTGAAATGCTGTTTCAGAAGAAATAAAATACGTTACTAAGTCGACGAAATTTTGCAGGGCACTATGACTCTGAATAGCAAACAATAATGTTTGGTAGTTGCACGTTAAAGTTCGTTCGTCAAATTTTTGTCTTCGCGGAGTTATTTAAAAGGGAGCTACTTCCTAGTTTGTGGCTTCAGCTCAAGCCTGTGATTAGTAACATCAATTTCTTCTCAATGGAATTACAAGTTTTAAATTTAAAGAAAAATACCACTCGTTATTTGATTTCTCAAAAACATACGTTTAAAGATTTTTCTGTTTTTACAGTGCAATCAGACCTGAATGATCAGCACTGTTAAAAATTTTCGGAATGCTTGTGTCTGTGAAAACGCCCATTTTCCTTACCGAGAAGAGATTAAACAAAATACGTCTGGAACTTAATTTACTTTAACCAATTTATTCATCCCGGTAATATAAATATTGAATCCTACATTATATTTGGTATATAATATTGGTCTATGATCTAACTGCTATCCATGATGGGTCCCATGCTCGTCATGGTAACAGCAAAATAAATATTCATAATCTTTCAGCTTAGTTTAAAACAAGGCGATCGAGCAAACGTTAAAACGAGAACATGCAAATTAGGTTGAGATGGCACAGTAATATCGGAGGATTTTGGTCAAATTATCAAACGGCCCGTCAAGCAAACACTGACTGGATGCGTAAAGGAGGAAATACATCGCTGTAAATGAAATGGGATTAAACTGATTAAGTGAGCCACATGACAAGGAGTTATCCAACCGGACGTCATCCGACCAGTCACGTGAGTTCAACCAACCAATTATCCAATCATACTCCAGATAGATCCACCATCAGCCAATGGGAATCCAGGAATAGCATCACAGGAAGACATAACTAATCAAAGACAATATAAATCATACACATCTATGATTGCAACTGTGACCGTATAATGAGGATGGGTGATGGCAAGCGCCCGATCACATTTAGATGTGGAGAAAATAGCGAGTTACACTTGTAATTGAGAGATGACATATTTGTGTGTGTGGTGAGGAATCCTGAATTAGAGTCAGTGCAGGTCATTTGAGGAAAAAAAACATGATATATTGTGTTAGGTATGTTGGCAGGCAAACGGATAAAAATTATGATTTTTCAACAAAAAAACTCGACAGCAAACTCACTAGAGGAAGCCATTGTGAACATATCAACGGTAAGAGCGAATAAATGGCTGAAACCATCCAGACAAAGCGCCCAGTCTACAGTATACAGACACAGAATCAGACCATGGAGATTGTTATTTCGGTGATGAGTCAGATGAGTCTAACCATCTGTCAAACTAATCTGTCTGCCAAAACATGTAACAGTATTACTGAGTCTGGCAGTGTTAGTAACAGTGTTACTTACACTGTTACTAACACAACATGTAACAGTGTTACTGATAGTGTAAGGAACACTATACAGTATACATGCATTTGTAACACTTATTACTCCCGATGTAGTAGTATTAAGATACATTATGATATCATTATTAGATTAATAAGTGCAACATAATCGTAGACGATCCACGCTTTGACATCAGAAGTAGTCAGAACAACAGATCGAGTTAAAGAGTATACATCAAGGTATACAAGGTATACAAGGTATACAAGGTATACAAGGTATACAAGGTATACAAGGTATACAAGGTCTTATATATTATGTAGCTATACGAAAGTAAAGGGAAACTAAGAAGACGCCCGTGTGAACTGTGACAGTGCCACTTTAATAAGGGTAGGATGTACCTCATAAAACTACTTGAACTTAGTTAAACGGGGGGCTTGGTAACTGCAACTGGAACTCTAAATGCTTAATAAATACACTTGCAGGTACCACCCGTATTTCCACTCGGAATTGAGTTTAGTCATTTTCCAATACGAGATTGGGGACGGGTTCTATGGACAAACAGACAAACAAACAAACAACTGCAACTGGAAGGACTTGGTAAATCGAGGAACCTGGTAACTGCAACTGGAAGGACTTTGTAACTACAAGTCGAAGGACTTGATAACTGGATGCACGGGTAATAAAGTTTGACTTTAATAAGAACAAGCTGAAAAAAAAACCAGAAAAAAGCAGCATACACACAGTACACACGCTACAAGATTAAAATAGACCATACATAATGACTAGCGATCATAACGTACAATTTGCATCAAAACTATATACAACAAACTGAAAAAACACACCACCAAAAGGGAATTGTAAAACCCAGCAGCGCCAACACACACACACACACACACGTACATGTAAAAGCAGACCGGAGAGGTTTGAACTTGTCGTGTAGTTAATACCTTTCGTCAACTACTGCTTCGTATTTCAGCACTATAGGTTCAACATCACACTCACTCCCAGAGCTAGAACGGTACCTCCACCAATACCCGACCAATTATATACAGGTCCGGGTTTCTGAACGTGCGGGCTGGCTACCGGGGGAGGTTAGGAACTGAGGAGTGTTAAAACTGATCTTAACCCTTCTAGGTCGAACTCGGATTGTATTGATAGCTGCATTTGGGTTGTTAGAATATTGAATATTTTGCTAAAAATATGAATGTTGCGTTATTCCATAATATTTTCATAATATGTACCCAGTACCGAACATATCGTCATGTTAAAACTTTGCCAGTTTTTAACTGAGTTGACGCTTAAAGATCTCTGCAGTTTACGGGGAGGGCTTGTAGTAATTAGAGCCTGGCAGAAGGAGAATTATATTTCAGTCAAAAGTGCGCCGGATTGGCTGTCGCCTGATCATTTAATTGCTTGATTGTTTATTTACAAGAATGTAATTTTCTAACAATTTGTTGTGTAATTTTTAATTTAGAACTAAAGATTATCTTTACGAAAAGCTTTGACCTGTGTTCTTTACCGCAACGTGTCATGATCGTAATGAGCTGTTATATCATTAAAGTTGAAGTAAGAACAATAAAAGAAACAGAATTGGCAAATTCGTAATATATTATAGAACGATATTTCATGAATTTGATCATCAATAAATTATAAAACGTGATCATCATAAAACGTTTAAAGTATATAAATATGAAAAGCATGACCTGAAAATTAACAGGCAAATTCCGGTAGATACGGTATATAGTGTCAATACCTTCGTGCAAAATGTACACTTGGGGAAACCTTAGTAACATTACAATGTTATCCACAAAATATAACGTTTTTTTATATTGCTGAATTCCTAACAGCTTAAAAAATGTACCTTGGATAACGGCACATCAAATGGTCAGTGAAATAACCGCAATTGCGAGGAATGCAAAAAGGTGCACAAGAACGACAACAACTCATGGCGTAGAAAAACTACCCTCGTAAAAATGTTAAAGTTTCGAGCAAAATTAACATTCATTATCACCTCTTCTGAGGTGATATGTCAATTGATAATAGTCCGGCACTCTACGCAGGATAACAAATAACCCCTCCTCTGAGAAGCAGCACAGCCTATCTGTGTCTATCTGGCGGGCTGACCCCGTGGCGCTGGTACAGCTCCGTCACTGACCTCGTCAGTTGGCTCTCTATCTTGGTGCAGATGGTGGCGTTAGCGGCGTTTTGAGCTCGTTCATAGCTCCCCAGCATGCCCTCCAACCGGTCTAGATGCGCTGAGATCTCAGCTTCGGAGGAACCACGTGCCTGGTACGGAGGGGTGAGTTTAGCTTGCTGTAGTGAAAACTTCCCCAGCCGTCCTACCCACGCGGAGTAGGGTGATGAAAGAATCTTTTGGTAAAATTCCGGTTATTAGGGGGTACTTGCAGTTTGCACTATATTTCTGACATTCAATCAGGGGTTACTAAAACTTTGATGTGACTTTCGGAAGCAGTCATTGATTGAGGCAGTTTTGCGGAGACACCGACGTAGAATTTCATATTCATTATTCACTGTCACCGCGCTGTACGCAGCAAATTTAACAACTAGTATTGGAAACGATGAGAAATACAGTACAGCTGGATCTTTTGAGACAAGTTAAATTTAACATATTCCAAAGTATAAAACCTAATATTCAGGTATCTGTAAAGATAAAAAGTAAGATAACTGATTCAGATAATATCTATATCTCGTACCTGGCTAGCTGCCAGGGAGTTGTGTTGGAGTTCCCTCTGCAAAGTATCCGTAAAACCACGATACACCAAATCCAGCTGCTGCTGGAAGCTGGGCAGCAACGTTACTTGGATCATGTTCTTCAGGGTCTCGTCAGAGGCGAGCCGTTCTGCCACTGAGCTTTGGACCTCATCGTTCACAGCCTGGAGCAGGCGAGTTTTAGATAAAATCTCCGGGGTGAGTGAAATTATTTTATATATTGTGCAACTTATAACGTAGATCAAACCATATAGTTGGATTATATATGTACATATTATATAGACTAATGTTATTAGATTAAACCCAAAAATCATACGTGAAATCGTTCAACATTTTATTAACTGCCGAGGGTAAATTACCTTGACGATATGGGTCACATTTTTCTGGACAGATTTCTTCATTTTATCGGTAACTACAAAGTTCATCTGGTTTTGCTTGTCTAGTATTTCGTCTAGATGGTGTTGAAGTTTCTTGACAACTTCCTCTCTGAGATAAATTGATTATTAGAAAAAATCTTAACCTGGTAACTGCACACTGCACCTATGACCTAGTGCACATCCACATATCTTGTGAACAAACTGATATGAATCCTATCAGTACAAAAAACTAACTTTTCTCAAGGCATGGATCATTGAGAATTAATTTTGTATCCGAAAGTGCCGTAACGTTAGAGTAGAACCTGTCCGGAACCTAGCAGTGTTCCTTAAGGAACTGTGTTTACTTTTTAGCAAGAACGTTCAATAAATGTAGTAGAACAAGTAAATAGTCCCCTCCACAACCCAGTGTCTACCTTGTCTAATACCCATACTAGCTTCATTATTAAGATGTTTTGTATTCAACCCAAGTCCTGAATTTTTAAGAAACAAAATCAGATGCTTTATTACTTTTGTTAAAGCATCAATCAAGTTGTTCGATATGTTTTGTTAGTATGCAATTTTATGCATTTAAAACGTTCTCTAGTCAAGATTTACCAGCAAATCCATCTCATTATAAAGTTATAACGTGAAAAATGAATGGAAATAATATGTTTGCATGTCAGTGCAGAAGCTTTATTGACGAATCCAAGTAGGCAATGAACCGGGCTATTGATTGATGTGAAGTTCGTACTTTAGTTGCTCTTGCGGCACCGGGCACACTAACATTCATATTTACAGCAAGGATCATACTATGCTGGCAGATTATTAGCACAATCTGGCGGAATATCAAGATGCAGCAGAGAGAGAGACTGAGTAAACTTGAGTAATCAAAGTATATTAATTAAAGCATGCGCGCACACAGGGATAACGAGTACAAATAATAATGAATCCTATCGTGTTTAGGAAACATTGGTGTTTGTAGCTTGGTCAGCTTCTCTCTTTTCAGCTTTCGAGTTTTTGATTCAAGAATCAAGCCTCTTCAACCGTCTTTTATCATGCCGCTGGACACTGTTGCCCCTATATTAGAAGCAGCAGTAGTAGTACAGGAACCCAGACCCCTGTCAAACAGGAGGGCTGTCCCGTTGTTATTTGGGATACAATCAGACCCTACAACTACTGAGCAAGTACTGAGCAAGGTAAACTACATGCTTACAGCAATCCCAATCTCTCAGCACAAATACTACAAGACGTTATTGGAACATCTTAAACGAGGGCTGGTAGAGGAGGAGGAACAACCCCTTAATTCGCAAAAAACCCAGGTGAGTTGGGAGATTATTATGTTGTGGAAGGTTTCATCATAATTTTGAATTTTCGTACATTTTTGGGGAAAGAACGACAATATAATGGGGGGGATGCAACGTCAATTAATGTCAATTAATGTCAATTAATGTCAATTAATGTCAATTAATGTCAATTAATGTCAATTAATGTCAATGTCAGTTTTGCAAAATTTTGGAATACTGACATTAATTGACACGATATTTTTCGACCAGAGATTATGTAGTTCTACCATATTTTTAGCACTTTAGAACGTTTATATCATCAATTTATTCACTACTATCACATATGGAAATGTGAAATGTGAAAAAATTCAGATCATTAAACAATAAAACTAAAATAATACGGTTTTCCGAAATTTAATTTTCTTAAATGGGCGTGGCCATCCAAGGGCGTGGTTCTCAACATCATCAGAACTTAAAACCCACATTAAACGAAATGCCTTCATGACATTTATATTTGAATAACGAATCTGAAACAGCTAACATTACTCCTTCATACTAAAAAAGCCGATTCTAGATATTTTACCTGTATAAGAAACCAATAAAATATGGGCGTGGCCGGTGGGGACCGAAGATGGAAGAGTTGGAAGCTGAAATTTTTGTGGTGGTCTTTGAACCTAAGGATCAACAGATAAGAACATACTCATAATTATTCAAGGACATTTTGTTTTTTTGAACCGGTCTAACTTACATAGACGTGAATATCTTGAATATTTATCGAATAATGATAATCTCAAATTTCAAGACAAATTAATGTCAATTAATGTCAATTAATGTCAATTAATGTCAATTAATGTCAATTAATGTCAATGTCAGTTTGGGGTTTTTATGGAATACTGACATTAATTGACGTTGCATCCCCCCCAATATAATATGTCTAACAGTAACTGTTAATTCTCTCTACAATGCCAATTTCAAAACTTCAGAGAACTCAGAGCAGTTACCCTAAGAAAGAAAACCACAGAGTAGAGAAAGGCCGAGCGTACACTGCACACGTGACCCGACTATCAGACTCCTGCCCATCACCTGCCCCACTGAGCCGCATAACCAGTGCCCCAACCACCCTCCAGGAGAGACGGCAACTTTACAGTAGGAACCAGGAGTACCGTCCCCGCAGCAACAACAATAACCAGAGGATTGGGAGACCTAAATATGGTGGCATCATGGAAAGTGATTGTGAATATCTGATGAAATTGAAGTCTGACTTCTGCCAATTAACAGTTTTGTCCCGGATCAAGGAGGCGGTCGCTTTGACAGAGTTCAGACTTTATAACGCCGCGCTGGAGCGACTACAACATTTATATCTTATCAAGGATAACATTGTACGTTTTCTGATTGGGAAAGTGAGCTACAAGCTGGGTAAGAGTAACGTTAGAACTGACTTGTCAGCCTGGTATTTGGACCAATCAGCGAGGTGCTTACAGGCGGTACTGGCATCTCAGCCTGACTATCTGGCGGCAAGGATATACCGGACCAAGTCAATTAACCGGCTCTACGTTCTCAAGCAAAAGCTTGTCCATTTGATCACGAAGAAGTACACCAAGACTTCTTTACAGTTACGGGACCTGAAGAGGTCCGAGTCTAAGTTTAAAAACGCTGTGGCAGTTGTATTGGAGTTAAATCGACAGTCGTTTCCGAGTTGCATAGATGAAAACTACTCCAACTTCAAACTGAAGACAGTTCCAGAAAGAATGGTGAGGACTTCCATCTGGGCCGTAATGAAAACCGCTGGAGAGTTAGTGAAGTATCAGCGATATCTAAAGGGACTGGAGATGGTGACATGTGCTCTTAAACTGTGTACAAACCATTCACTCTACTTCTTGAAGGCGAAGTGTTTGGTGGGGATAAGAAGTCATCAGTTGGTCGAAAAGATTCCGACTCTGCACAACGTCCAAGCGACAAATATTTGTGATGTTATAGCAAGCAATTTGACTATGTCCTGTAGATTGAGCAAGAATTGTAACTTTAAGGTGCTGTTCGAATTGGGAAGATTTCTGGGGACGACCAGCAAAGTTATCGAGGGAGTTAATCAACTGAAGGTAAGGATCACTGTACTGTCGAGCCATCTCATGTCGTAAGCTGAAAACTAAGTTCCCCCAATTTTTACGTCCAATTTCAATAACATTTTTCGTCGATCCTAACTTGATCCCGATAAAAACACAATTTTGGGCCAGGATTCGTGAGTAGAACAATGATCACCAAACTCAATATTTAAATCATATTGGGACCTTCATTAGCCTTACCATATCGAAACCCGATTCAAACCAACTTATTTCAGAATTACAGCTGCCCCTACTGCAGTATATATAATCGATAAATACAACAATATTATGAATAAAACTTGTTAACTTTCAGTCGGCACTGCAAACGGAGGAAAAGCACCTAAAACAAGATATCTACGTAGAGCTAATAAAACTGCTGCTCCGGTACGATGTAACAGAAGCTGCCAAGACCTTACAAAACTTCGCGACCGACACCAAACCAAAGCCCGAGCAGATCCTCTACCATCTGAAAAGAATCAACGAGAGGTTTATCGCCAAGGGGTTGCGGAGCGAAGCTGTTTACTGGAGCAATGTGTTTGTCAGTGCCGGGATTGTTGCAGCTGAGGATCTCAAGAAGCATAACCCCAACCCGGCTGCTTTGTTCCAGAAATTTCGCAAATCCAGTCTGGACGCGTCTACCCAGACGGACTCAGTGTTTGGGAGTTTGCGGGGGAGTGACCTGCTCAAGGCGCTCACTTTGACTGAGGTTAATAAGATTGGGGGTAGGAAGAGAATGCTGAGTAGAGGGGTCTCCAGGACAATGTTTAGCGCGGAACATTAGAACCAACAGTAGGGGTCTCCAGGCCAATGTTTAGTGCGGAACAGTATAATCAACCGTTCACATGCGCCGTGTTTCCATCATCCATAAGGTGAATCAAATAAATTTGAGGCTCACATTATCCAGTTTGTTATCTAGTTTGAAAGTTGACATGAATTATCAATTTATTGAATGAACTTTGTGATCGAATAAGGCATACCAATTAGATGTTGCCACTTGCCACTTAATATGTGAACAAATCATTTCGACTTCTGAGTTTTGATTTTCGTAAAACTAGACGGCATTACCCGAGGGAGACGGATGGCGCCGCTCAATAATCTTCGACTCGTTTTACTGTTTGCATCGTGAGAAGCTGATGATGATACAATTTGCTGCTCTCCTACTCCTTGTAGGTTCTGTTGTAGCCCTCACTGATGATCGAGGGAATCTTACTGACAGACTAGCAAGTTTCCATGCAATTCTGGAGAAGCTACCTGGAGACATGTTCGAGATTGAGTTAGATCTGGAAACATACAAAGAGGAGGATCAGGACGAGCTTGTCGCAGAAGCAGACGAACAGGCTAGTGCGATCAGGAAGAAATTAGGTGAAGCCTCGAACGAGGTATATGAGTTAAGGCTCCTAGCGGAACTACTGATACGGAGAAAAGAAAAGAAGCCGGAGGAAAAAGAAAAAGAAGAGAAGGAAGAAGAAGATAGAAGATGTGGGACCTGGAACCTAGGAATGAACCTAAACCCCAGTGACGGCCACGTGATGGGTTACGAGACAGGATGGTCAGACGACAGCTCTATCGGCTCACTAAAGGAGGCCCTGATAAAGGATTATCTCAACCAAACTGTCTGGGATACACCTGCAAATCACATTGCTATAGTGCGACACCACCAGGGTGCCCTAGATGCTGTTAAAGTCTTCACATTCAAACACTGGGGGCTGTCTCTGTCCCACAGGTTTAAAGACATGGACCCAGGACGGAACGTGGTCTCAGAGGGAGGACCAGTACAATTTTACACGACCCCTGGTGCTCATAACCTGGTAGATGATCCTATCTTCTCTGTTGGAGGAGATCTTGCCTCAACTGGGGCTACTCAAGAAATGGAGCTAGACTGGTGCTAACTGGAGGACATCTTAGCGGTGCTGATGTTGATGACGACAACACTCATGGATTTGGTAATAACTTCGCGGTCAGGCCAAAGATGATAGAAGACCCAGAAGCGTATCCAGGTTGGGCACACGAGATCTCAAACATTCAAGATTGTCCATATCCGAGCTGCACACAAGTGACAGGTGTGAAAATACAAGGCACAGACCACGGTTCCGGTTCTACCCTGAAAGGCGGACTGGTCTATGGAAACTACGCACTGTACGTCTCTGACAGGGACAAAAGGAAATCGCGGCATGTACGGAATCGCGATTTTTCCCATTATTTGCGACAAATTTTATGTATAGTTTAATGTATAGTCTGTTAAAAATCGCGGTATCGCGATTTTTGGCCAAAATAATCGCGAAATCCTTTTGTCCCTGGTCTCTGATGACGTTACTTCCTTCCCAACTGATGGTCTGAAATTGGGAACCACCGTGATTGTGTGTGAAAATGAGGACTAAAACTCATATGGAGAGTTCGGCATCATTGTAGAATTCTTGTCAAATATTAACCTTTTTACGAATAAAGATGTTGCATGTTTAATGTTTATTGTTTGCTGAGACGTACTTTTGAAAGTGATTAGAGAAATATTCATCTTTGGTAGAGAAATATTCAATAAATTCATTGTGTTCATTAAATTTTTTAATCTTCACCTTGCATGTGCTTGTGACGTGGACTGTGGTAACTAACTACGACTGACAGACTGAGGCTAGGCGGTACGGGAATCAGAACCGTCCAATTACATAAAGCTGCCACAAACTTTCCAGTAAAGTAAGTTTTTGATAATGGAACCTGAACCAAAACGGTTAGGGGGATTCTCAGCGCTGACCAGCCTAGAGCTAGTCGACAAGCTAGATGAAGACCAGATAATGAGGGAGAGCAACCTCATTTTGAATCCTGAATTTATCAAGAATCTGCCACGTAAAACCCGTAGCAAAAAGAACATTGACGAAGCTCGTGTGGCCCTAAGAGAACATTTCCAACAATTTATTGGCGAAGAACAAGATTCTTTATTTAACTTGTTATCTAATTGCGTTGATAATTTAACTGAAATCATTACGAGGCACGCGGAGGACGCTAGTAAGCAGTTGAAAGGACTTCAAAAAGACATTGGCCAAACTCTCAGTTCAACAACTACCACAGCTATTCAACCACCCTGCAGCCCTCAGCAGACGCCTACCCCCCCACCGCCCAGCCAACGACTACACAGCCCAGGATTACACGGTAACTCGACAAACTCAGGTACACTACCGTTTGAGACACTTGATGGTGCGCATTTTGACACATTTTCGAGTTCTGCGCTGAACGATGACGTAACTTATGACCGTACTTTTCCTAATAGACGTGTTGCCTACTATGGTCAGTTCTCATATCGCTATTCCGGCGGTTCCCATCATGCTAGAGACATTTCAAAATCGTCATATTTGAGTGAAATTGCTAATGTTCTTAAGACCGAATATCCAGATCTTAATTTCAACTCAGCCATGGTCACCTCATACGATTCTCCCCGCTCTTGCATTCCACCCCACTCAGACAACGAACCCAGTATCAGTAGGGATAGTAACATCATCACTCTGTCACTCGGCTGTCCCAGAGAAGTGGTATTTCGGAGGAAGATCCCTGGAGAATACAAGAAGGAGACATTCACAGCTACTCATGGTTCTCTCTATACCATGTCCAGACAAAGCCAGGATGAATGGGATCACTCCGTTCCAGGAATCCCTGAAGAGAAATTTGAGGGGCCCCGATTGAGCATTACCTTCAGACTGCTAGAGGACCCCGGTACAGTCAAGAAGAGCAGACGTCCCCAACGAGGCTCCTTGTCGTCAGGCCTATCATCACCACACAAGGACCACCCAACATCGAAACGACTTCGGCGAGTTCTTATACTGTCTGACTCCAAGAACCGTACATTCGACTGCTCTCTCCTCAAAGAGCCGATCATTGCGTTCAGAGAAGATCTCTTCCATCTGAGAGACTTAGCACAACACCAAGCCTCAATAGAACAATCTGATCTAGTCCTCATCAGTGCCGGAGTGAACGACCTCAGATTCGGTCATGCTGATCCTATGACCTTGCATGACCACCTAAAACATTTCACCTAAATTTGTATTTTCTCCGACTAACGATAATTCATCACAAAGAAATTCCCGTCAAAGATTCCACGATTCATAGTAAAATAAACTAAATCAAAGTAAAAATGATTTTAAACTAATAAGAAACAAAAAGTTAAAGTTAAAAATCTATAAATGTACTAACTTGTAAAAGTTCTCGATATTCTCCTTGAAGATTCCATACGCCCTATCAACCATAAGGGTAGCACATTCTGCTAGATCATCTTGAAGGTTTACCCCACGCTGGAATCCTCTGCCTCTGCTTCCGCCTACTTCTTGTAGTAACTTGTCTACCTTCTTTTCCATATCCTCTAAAGGCAATAGTAGTTTAGTTTTATGTCAAGTATTCAAAAAAGGTGTCAAATATGAAGGAAGTATTACCTTATTAAATTTTAAAACATGTAGTTTATTGGTATGCGCATTTAGTTTCGTTTCCGCCTCATCCACCGTCCTTTAAGGGGGCATACCCCAAATCTGTCCAGACCAAATGACCTCATAGGCAGTTCAGTGACCTTCTAGCGCACCGTTTCCACACCAAAAAAAATCATTTTGAGAATTCCCATTTTTGTAATCGACCAAAAAATTAGTAAATATTAAAAACGAAAAATGTGCCTAAATTTGTTCTTTGGCTTTGAGGTCCAATAGATCAGAAGGTGAATGAGTAAAACCATTTTTGAGGGCATCAAAAACTGCGCCAGAATTTAGAGAAAAATTTGATGTCAAGCATCAAATCAATCCGATCTTCCCTGACTGACTTTTTGTTAAAATTAGCCTGAAAAGGACAATTTTAGCTTTTTGACTTTAAAAATTCATAACACACCAGCCTTTTTAGATACGATATCAAGATTTTACACACACCTTGACATGATGTGAATAAACGGCGATTAACTTATAGCGCCTCAACCAAAAAATAATTTTTTCCGAAAATTGAACTCTTAACCAGGAAATGGTCGATTACAAAAATGGGAATTCTCAAAATGATTTTTTTGGTGTGGAAACGGTGCGCTAGAAGGTCACTGAACTGCCTATGAGGTCATTTGGTCTGGACGGCACAAACCACTGTTTTGGGGTATGCCCCCTTAAGGCTCAATAAAACACAATTTGGTTGTTGCATTATCAACTGACCTTTGTTTTTCTCTACTTGTTTGATGCTCCGTTCCAGTTTCACAATGATGCTCTTCAACTCTGAGCCACTGTCATCAGCTACCTGAACTCGTGGTGGTAGCTGCTCTGGTTCTCTCTCCTGATGATGCTGGGCAGTAAAGGTTTTACATTTTAATACTATTTTTTTTTAAGAACAAGTTAAGTTATTTGTTAACAATAATTAAAATCTGTTAGTGCGAAAAATCATGAGTTGAAAATCATGCTAGGATTCATGAAGATAAAAGAAACCCCACCTTTTCTCGGATATCCAATGATCGGAATTGAGGTATGATCATGTTCTGTAGCTCTGAGGGGGGCTGAGGTTTGGGTGAGTGAGGTTTGGAGGAGGCTACACTGGAACCAGTCGACTGGGGTCGGGAGTGTAAGTTGATTTGTTCTGATATCGGCTCCTGAGAGAGTATCTTCATTAAACGATATGTACGTAGTTGGGAGGTGGGTCACCCATCTTATTAGTTTGTCGACTATTTCTATAACAGGTCTGGTTAAGGAAAGGGCATAAAATAGTTGCAGGTAAATAAGTGGTAGGTGGTTGACACGGTAGTCATGACAACAAGACAATGTAGAGTGTAGACGTGCCTGGGCTGTAGCGAACTGAGCGGAAAGTGGGAGAGTTTCCACGGTGGGGGAGGACGGTATGGGTGGAGAGGCGGAGTCGGGGGAGGAGATGGGGGCGATACTGTTACTCGTGGAGGGAGAGGTCAGCTTCTGATCTGGAACATCTTCGTCGGGAGTTTCTAAAAGAGAGGATATTTAGAGTTTTAGTAAGGATTCAACAAGTTGTACAATTTAAACAAGTTGATTATTATTCATTGAATTTTAACGAAGAAGAACAAGATTGTGATCTAAGTTACGATAAGAAACTCGAAAAATGTTTGGACGCGTGACAATCACGTGCGGAAATAATTAATAAATAGCTCCTCCCAAATGAATTATCATGAAAAAATTGATCCTGAATTCAATTTAGTCTGAGATTTAACCAACCAAACATGTGTACAGCAATTGAATCAGCTATAATCTTCAGTTCCTTTTGATTAGGAATATCGTTAGTACCACGGACGTTACTTAGGTAGAAGAGACCAGGATCGAGCTGTCCGTTGAACCCCATGAACCCTTTCTTACGGTCGAGATAAGAAACACGATCATTAACAAACGACTTTAAAATAGTGTTGAAGATTTCAAGTCGGTGCTTTTTGTTCACTGGTACAAGTGTTTCACCCAGCAGAGTTATTTGACATTTTTGAAACTGTAAAAATACAGTATCTATCATCAAACTAACTCTTTCCCTAAACTCATTCCAATTGATATCTGGAGTAAAATCCAAGGAGATAAGAATCTGTTGAACATTCCCCCGGAGGCTATCAATTATCTGCTCCTTCTTCAATGTTTCAATAACTTTGCACGGTTCCACCGGTCTAGACATATCTGCTTTGTTGATAACAAGAATATCACCATTATTGGTGCCTATCCTTGCAGATATCTTTGTGGCAAGACCATGGAGATGATATCCCCCGTAGACAAGAACAAAACTTTGTGTAAAAGTTGAAGATTTAGGGCGAGTAATGTGGCTTCTCCTTCTGTTACTCGGACGAAACTGTGAGGAGAAGTGTCCATTAAATGATGTTACACTTGAGGGTGTAACATTTGAGGGGGGTGTGGTGTTGGCATAGTACGGTGTTTTACGAGGGTGACATTGCCTGGACACTCTTCTTTCATAGTCCAAAATTTCAAACTCTGTCTTTTTGATCGTCAATCTTTGGTAGTAAGATTCATCTTTACAGTTGTTGTGCATTTCGTATAGGCTGCTTCAAAGAAATTGGATATAAGAAAATATCGAAAAATCCTTACTGCATAATCAGAAGCACATGATAGTAATTGAGCATAATTAGAAATAAAGAAGTCATTAAAATGACAAGGAAATAGCACTTAGCATTCCTTATAGTTTGAGTAAACAGCAAGGGTTGGGTCAAGCTTGAAATATCATTTTAAACGTTTTAAATTAGTGTCCAGTAGATCGGAAAGGAACTACTTTCATAAATTGTAACAGGAAATGATGAACAACAATTTGAAAATAGAATCGCCGTGTTTTGTTTACGTAATGACGTCTCGTATTGTTTAAATAGAAAATGAAGAACTGGAAGCTCTTAGGAAAGGCCGAATTCCTGAAAACACCTGAAAAGCTACTCAATTCGCGGTAAATCTGTACAATACATGGAGAGAAGAGCACGCCCGTTTGGGGCATAGATATGCCCCGCTGGACTGTGGTGTTCCTTCAATGATAAACAGTATGGTGGCCAAGTTCATAGTTGAGATAAAAAGAAAGGACGGATACCACTATGCACCTGAAAGCCTAATAAGCATTTTTTCATGGAATAAACAGATACTTAGTCGAGCAGGATGCTATAATGAACTTAAGCCTTGCTCCAGAGTTTCTCACTTGCAGGGAGAAAGTCTACGGTTATATCAAACATCTGCAGAAAGAGGGATAAGTGTTTGTCTTAAGATAACCAATGAGACACTTAGCCACACGACGAGGTAGCCACAGCAAGTAAAGCGTCTGAGGTGCTCCCAGGTCCAAGTTCAAGCACGACTGCTCATTCTACGAATATCATTGAGACACAAAAAACATCACGCGTGAATACTAAGAGAAAGGTGGATAAGTGTGTGTCCCCTAAAGAACAAATTGAAGATCAAGATGTAGGGTCAGTAAATAATTAGTCTTAAATTCTTAAAAATTGTTCGGGCAATTAAATTTTATCTTAGATTGTAATCTAAGATAAAATTTGTATGTAAACATACTATTTCGTAGACTAAAATATTTTAAAGATACCTTAGTATTACTGTAAATTAATTGAAACGTTCTCGCCTACTAATTTGCCTGGGAAACAGGCTAGGACTGTCATCGAACTGAGGGCGAAACGGCCGTTTTAGTGGAGTGTAAATACTGAAACATGCCGTGAAATGGTACAAAAACTAAGGTTTTTGTTTTCTGTTTCGACCCTGCCGTCTAAAAGCTCGTTGACAGTCTCAGCTATTTTTTGTTTCACGTGAAAGTTGTACTCGTTAAATATCCGTGTAGTGGAGCATTTGGACAGGGCCATTTACTTTGTACTCAGGTCACAACAGAGATATTTTAGTGGTTCATCGGCTCATCTCTTGAGTGTCGTTCATGTAGAATCATATTATAGACCAGCTAGTGTTTTGGTCGAATCTATGAATCTGAGTGCACGTATTTCCATAATACTCTCGAGACCTTTAATTCGAGGGGATTTCCCTCCCGCTCAAATGGGCGCTACAAAGAAGCAAAGAAATCTATATTGGATAAAGAACTCGCCGAAGCATTTACTTGGCTAAAAACATCTGAAGGTTCACAACACGTTACAGACTTTGACGACTTTGAAGTAACCAAGTACAATCAAAATGGATGGAAACGGCTTCAATATATACAAACACTCTGCTTACTTTGCCTAACCAGATAGGACACGTCGAAATAAGTATGAGATTTAACAGAAACAATATGTTTATTGGAAAGCTGCCAAATAAAATTAAAGAAAATGATAAAAATGTAGGAACTGAGCTGTATTTTCCTGCGAGAGCGGAAGTTCATTTTACTGTGAACTATTAAAATATCAATGCATACTAAACTATTTTATTCTTTGTAACATAATATCTTACTCCTATTAGAACGCAAGTGTCTTTTTTGACATCGATACTTATTTAGTACTGTACTCCATAAATTTGATTTATAAAAATACAGTACTAAATAAATATCAATAACCAAACCGTCGATTTGGTAGCAGCATGGCAGGATGCTCATTAGACAATGAACACTCTTCGGCACTGGTTTGGTCAGGAGTTCTATAACTTACCTTAGTCCGTATCTGGCGGAATTGTAAACATTCCAATTACAACAGTCGGTGCCTATCGATAGTATTCGATCATTTCCCATATCTATTTGATAGAGCAGTTTCTTCTGTCATATCAACGTAAACAAATATCTAAACTATAGAGTTTGAAGCGGCACTTGACAATGAGTGACCTACTCGACGAACAGTAAAAGGACGCCCTCTATAAAAATACCAATTTGGCTCTGAATATCTTTACGATTAAACGGTCAAACGTTAATATTAATAACCTTCCAGTTTTACGGTTTTGGAACTATGGATTTTGTTACAAGTGGGGTGGCGAAGCATTGCTTATTGTTGCATTATATATTTTCTTCCCTTTTCAGTTTTCAACGATCAAGGGGATCAAATGAAAATCAAAAAATCAAACAACCACGACGATTAAACAGATGCTTAAGATTTCAAGCCTCTATAAGAGTATAACCCCAAACAACATATTGTTGTAAACTAAGTAAAGATTACGATGCGGATCGGGTATCAAACTGACTTGATCAGTAAGCGAACCCTAACAAAATGACTCTTGTAATCATGGTTACTAATTGAAATACGTTGATTTAGTAATTATTACACCAGGTGTTTGGTTTTGGAGCAAATAATTCCAGGATCGAGATCAGAGTATACAGAGTGGCCCAAAGAAATTAACCACCCTGCATACCGGACAATTAGGCAGATTGCTAGTATATGGGACACACTCAACTACGGCCGCCCCTATTCCTAAGAAAACTAGAATCCATAAATCTTCTTAGAGAGATTTCAAGAGAGTGTGAACCATTGAAGCCTGACTGAAATGTGGAGATAGTACACATTCTTTGGAATAAACTCCCTTATGAATTAAGGAAAATCTCAAGGCCACCTGTGTTTAAAACTCATTTAATTCAGCACCTCTGGACAGTTCTAAACGACCTTATAACATCTTCTGACAATTGAACAATTATGTCGTCCTCGTTTCACTCAAATTAAACAATATACATATACATTACTTCTCTACCAATACCCAGGATTCCTAATATCAACCTAAAACCATGATGCCCTATATCTACTTAAACTTTCACGATGATCCGACATACAAACTTTGATAATAATAGGGGGGGGGGGGATAACGTATTTTTTTGTTTTTTTTTGTTTTTTGTTTTTTTCAAAAAACCAATTCTACCTAATAAACAAAAAAAAACAAAAAAAAACAAAGAATTGTTTTTGGCTATTTCACATGAGATAAGGGTTAGATAAGGTTGACAGCACTGTAACACAAATAGACACGATAGTAATGAAACTTGAAGCGACAGTAAAATTAACAATTAAAGAATACGGTCTGTTGTTTTCACGAATTCCGAAATACAAATTCAGTAATATGAGGATTCTTCAGTTTTTGAAATTTTAGATAAGAAGGCGGAACATAATTTCAATTACTGCATCCACAGAACAGTCAATTCAACTATAATAAGGTCACATTAATGCCTCAAAACAAACACCGTACATATTGCTTGGTTTTAAGATCGAAGATCCACACTGTGACACCTTCACTGTTGTGGATTCGGCAAGCACAAGAAACTGGTGTCAGATTCTTAGACATAAACCGGACAGTACCTCGTACACGGATATTTGTCGCACGTCCTCTAACGCACTTCTTCGGGACTGTAACATCTCCTCGATTGAGGGCCTCATTACAGCATTTGGTCGGGTCCAAATATTCTGAAAAAGCAGTATCTTCAAAAAGACGCCTTCTTGATTTGGTCGCAACTCTACCCTTTCTAGATTGATTATTGAAGCGGATTCCACCAGCATTCAAATATAGTCAAGGCAGCTGGCCTAATGGGGTATTAGCAGTAGTTGTGGAATCTTCCTCATGCACCGGGTCGTCATGAGACATATCCTCTTCCTCACTGAAGTCATCCTCCTCCCCGTCATCCTCCTCCCCGTCATTCTCCTCCTCCTCCTCGTCGATTCTTCTCCGTTTTCTCTGTGGGGCGTCGGAAACATCGTGATTAAAAAAGGGAAGTCCTGCTTTTTTGATGTCTGCCAAGCAGTCCCTGGTTCCCTGGTTCAATGCATTAAGGAGGATGAGTAGGAGGACTGAGGAGGGTAAGAAGGAGGAGGAGAAAGCATTTAAATGTTATTTCCGTAACAGTTTTTGTCCGTTTATGTCCGTTCTAATTTTTGTCTGTTTTGAAAATATAGGGTACCAAACGGACAAAAACGGACACAAAACCTTTTTTGGTTTTTTTTGTTTTTTTTGTTTTTTTTGTTTTTTTAGGTTTTTTTGCTTTTTTTCCCTTTTTTGTTTTTTTGTTTTTTTTGTTTTTTTGTTTTTTGTTTTTTCCAAAAAATTAATTCCACCTAAACAAAAAAAACAAAAATACGTTATCCCCCCCCCCCCCCCCCCCCCCCAATAATAACGAAACAATACTTTACTATCAAAACGAATTATGATTAACCTCGAGCGGCTTTACAACTAAACACCTCTGCACAATTTCACTGTCATTTTACTGATTAAAGATCTGTGCGCATTCCTGGCATTAATCTCGCGAATTATGTATTTTTTTGTACTCTACAATCCCGTACAAATGCCACAAATCCTTAATCAGTAATTATAATCTCTTGTTATAATAGATAACGATATTATATATTTTGATAATTGAAAGTCTTTGTTATCTTTAAATTAACTATATCTAAATATCAAATAAATATAATATGTAATTAATAAAATATGTTTTATAAATTGTGTTTATAATTATGGTACATTGTTATTATATTTATATTTTAGGCTGTAACCTTATTAGTCCAATGGAATAAACCTAGCATGCCTTGGTTGCAGCATCGCTTCACTTATAATAGGTGCATATAGGCCCCGATGTAATTGCTATGACCAGTTTACTGGTCAACTGGTGTTTCGCAGTTTCGATGTCCCTAATTTTGTTTACACTCGGTCACTTGTCAAGGCATGTAAGGTCATTCGGCGAATTTTCTTTGAAATAAAATGATGTATTTGTAAACATTTTGAAAGTTTATTGATACAAAAATGTATTGCTTTGACGTCTGATAGCGATGAGTGAATTTAAGTGTTCGCTGCTGTTAGCTGATTGGTTAACCGGTGCCATTTGACAAAATAAAACTTTTAAATTTGTGCTTTAATGAAATGTCCGGAACAGTTGACTAAAAGATAAATTAATTCGCTTTGAAACACTCAATTAAAGCGTTTTGCATGTTCGATGAAAGGTTCAATGTACATGATCTGAACTTCAGTTCAAGAGACCAAACACTAACAAGTCCCAAAGTAAGTCAAAATAATTGCTAAATTGAGTTATGATCGACTGTACTAACCATCAGATTCTTCAACTCCGAGAACTCTCCGTGCCTGAGGGAACGGATCTTTCATTATTTTGTAAACAATTTCTAAAATGTAACCTTAAGAAGAAGAACCTTTTTGAAATGTAACCTTAAGAAGAAGAACCTTTCTAAAATGTAACCTTAAGAAGAAGAACCTTTCTAAAATGTAACCTTAAAAAGAAGAACCTTTTTGAAATGTATCCTTAAGAAGAAGAACGTTTCTAAAATGTAACATTAAGAAGAAGAACGTTTCTAAAATCTAACCTTAAGAAGAAGAACGTCTCGAACTTCAGGAGGAAGCTCACTGCCACGATATTTCTGGACGGCCTTTACAGTATCAACAAGGTGAAGATGGTGTACTTGTAGCAGTGATTCATCTTGGATCGTGAGTAGGGGATCTGACAGAAAATAGCAGGTGTTAACAATGGGATATTAGTATTCAGTATTCAGTATTGATATCCAGTAGTGATAGTCGTAGTCGTCCCGAATATTAACTAAGGATTTTGTATAAGTTTGACAGATAATGTGCCGAGAGATAATTGAAATTAATGCAGTATGATATCGGTACGAGTAACCTGGGGAGAAGGGTTTCTCCGCTGAAAGAGGATTAGTCTCAAAAGGATCGCTGAGGTCTTCAGTCCAAGCTACATGACCACGCAAACTCAGAACCTCGGCCAAGTCTTTACCATCGGACAACCTAACCCACACGGGAGTGAACCCATCTTGATGTTCCCCTGGAACAACCCTCAACTCCTCATCTCGGAGAATGTTCTCGAAATCCTGCATAACCCGATCTGAGTGCTCCTCTGGACAGGAGACGCTCTGGAGACGGACCTGAAAATAAATTTTAGTATCGCACCTAGTGGACCACTCTTTTAGTGACATTTTAGTAAGCTTTCGGAATAAACGTTTCCCATGGTAATTAAGTTCCGCTAACATATAATTACAAAACTAAGCGATAGGAAATGTCAATGACTTATCTCTCAAGTAGGAACTAGATTAAAATATTAATAATGAACTGAAGAACAAACCCTTCAACTTGGCAATTGTAAATTATTAAACTGGACTTTAACAAATAAACTTGCTTATCACCCTAATTACTTGCTAATCACCTGGTGTGCTTTACCCGGTACACCGTGGAAAGTGGGCAGGGCTCTCAAACAGGCCCGGTTAGTGGCGATCACCTCACCATAATCCACCAGTTTTACCCGGACATCCTCATCTCCGTGCACGGACACCACCTCCCCTCTCCTCCACTCCTGGTAACCCTGGTAACATGCCACCAGACCCCCCACATAGGGCACCACCCCTACGGTACCAGGTGACAAGGGTCCGGAGTTTCCCTGAGCTGGTTCTCCTAGCAGAGCTGCCAGGGTTGTGTTGATGAGGGTTAGGAGGGGCTCTTGTTGGGTACTTCGGATGTAGAATTCTAGGGGGCTGGTTCCCGAGGAATATTTGTAGAGAGCAGGGGTTAGATGTGGTTGCAGGGGTAGCTTCTTGTCTGCGGAAAAGTGAGGCTTAGTGGTGTGGGATTTTCTGATTTATTTAAAACTCAATCCAAATACTGGACACTGAGGTTAAAATTAAATGCGATTTTATGAACAACTTTTCTGATCGACAGGTACTTACTTTTATTCATAGATTCATTCTGGTAAGATGAAATCCATTGAAAGATTTTGTCGGTGAGACTTTCTATCAGGACTTCTTTCATTCGTGGCATACTTCCGCACAACTCGTCAATAACATCTTTATACCAGTCTGAGAAGAATGGAAATAAGCGGAAAATTGTCACAAAACTTAGTGAGGGGCGGTTCGTGAATAAAAAGAGTTAAACATATTGGAATTTGGATCTAAAGAGGATAGCTCCAGAACAAACATGACCCATCTTTAGGGTAGTGATTGTTGAGAATAAAACCCACTTTCAGGGTAATGATTTTTAACAATAACACCTTGAATTACCTTTAGGGTAATAGTTATTGACAATAGCTCCAGCCAGACTGCCCATACCATCCTGATCAGCAGTCCCAGTAACCTGGTCCACCAGCCTGCACACCTCCTTCAGAGACACCTGCTCCGTGTTATCCAGGTAGGACAGCAGGGTCATCAAGGTGGTGTTGTAGGTGGGCTGGTAGGTGGTGGTGGCACCCTCACTTTCTGAGGACGGTTCTGGGGTTTTACCAAGAGGTAGAGATAGGTTAAACACTTTTAATGTGGTATTCATTCAGTGCTTATCATAGAATAGTAGCTTAATATCGGTTGTTGTGCAGTGGTGCCTTCTAATGAACAATTGATTTACTGCCAAAAATCATACATTCTACACACTTCAGTCCTAATAGTAACACCGATAATGATTTTACCATGCCAGCTGTTTCACCTAAAAATATCTTAAATAGCAATTAGTAATTACCAGGAACTATCCTAGAACTTTCCATGAGCATTCTCAGTTTGTTCTGTCCCTCGGGTCCCTTGAGAGAACCGTACTCTTTAGGGAGCAGGTCCTTGAGCGGCTCAATGATGTCACGTAGCTTGATAAGGAACTCGGAGTTTGTGCTGTCTTTCTCTATCACGAAATCTCTCAATATACCGATCTGAAACAAGAGTGGGTGTTAAGTTTACAAGAGTGGGTGTTAATGTTTTGAAAAGGGGGGATTTTATCGCCATTTTTGTCTTATCGATCGACAAAACGTCGATACATCTCTGTACCAATAATGGTAGGATTCATTAATTGGGCTGAAGCTCCCTGATCCCCACCTTGCTTTCGTTCTCATCTCCAAAAAAATTGTGCATACCGTACTCAGCCATTCTCCTTACACTACAGTCATCTTCTACTGCCAACTCATGATTGTTAATTACTTTTGCCAACTAATCAAGGTAAGCCACGTGATAGTTCCACTTTTATATGATTCACAGCTAATTTGCCTTTAATCAGCGCGACAATAGCGGTGAAAATTAACTGAAGCTAAAGTATTTATATTGAAATTAGTCTTCGCAGAGCTTAAACAGTAGGCGGAGGTTATTTTGTTCTTTGGTAGACTGGCGTGCCATATTAAACACCAAACTGATTGTACTCACTGTTCTGTTGGTCGAATCCGCATGAAATGGAAGGATTTCTATCGATCTTACGAAAGTGCTCTCCTACTATTGCTTGAAATCTTACAAAGGCGCTCTCCTGTTGTTTCTTGAAATTAAATTAAAATATTCTCACACGTCTCCAACCATTAATTGGGCAACCCTCAGCATTGTTTTACAAATTGTACTGACTGTTTATTTATAGATAAGACAGAATGTTGAAACCCACAAAACAATTCGTCGATAAAATATGTCGACAATTCGACTTGCTTGAGTGATCAGTTTGTCATTTACCGAGCAATTTTTTGTAACTTTCCCAAAATTTTGACCTTGATCTTTGACGTGCAATGAAGCATTTTGCTTGTAACTGTAAGTAACTTGTTATCATTTTTGGCTATATCATCTTTTAGTATAGGAGATACGTTTGAGTCGCATGTCCGATTGTCAATTTACTCTAGGCCTACGCTACTCTTTTATATGTTCCTCATTTTAATCTTATCTAAAGTAAATATGATTACTGTCACTGTTATGTTTAATAACAACATAATATGACATGCATATAATTCTATGCAACTTAAAGCGTTATAATGTTCTGTCTGTGGATAGCAGGTCTGTTTTGCCTATTGATATAAACATTAAACAGTGCTGTAATAACACGGTTCCACCAAGCTTCCTGGCTTCACGTCTTGTTAGAATAGTCTTAAAAGTTAAAACTCTCCAGTAAGTTTTACTCTTTTGGGCCTGTTACTTCTATAATATCATTTCTATGGTTGCACCAATTTAAACATCAGACACACATAGTTACTGTCTTAGAGTCTTCGGAAACAGTTTGGAGAATGCAATACAATGCTATAAATAGTTACTGTTTTAGGACTCTGATTTGAATGCCGTAGAACGTGCCGTAGAATGCCGTACAACGTGCAAGACCACTCCTGTTCTGGAAATAACGGGACGGAAAGCTGCTACTTCAGATATATCAATGTGAGTAAACATCATGTTTCATTAGATCACATGTGGCAACAATACAATCAGCGTGGCAACAATACAATCAGTATGTCCCTATTTAATATTTCCCTTAGATTTATAAAACTTGCCAGCCCTAATATCTAATCTTCATCTTGATGTGAATTAAATTCTTTATCAAACTGTTAAACAGTAAACTTAACTCAAACAGGGCGGAGTCTTAACCGGGATAAGTGTCATAGGTTTCCTTCTAAATGCAGCAGAGATATACTTCCTGAGCTACAATATGGTGGCTCTGTGTAAAACCCAGGTATTGTTTTAATTATTCAGGCTACCAGTGGTGGCTTTTAAAGTCACAGTCATCATAACAACTATCAGGTATCAATTGTTGACAATCAAAACTATCAATATAACGATTATTGAGATATCTCTTTTCTGGTATATACCAAGCATATCGTCTGTTCACACTTGTACGCAGCTAGATATTGAATATCCCTCAGAAAATATTCCTGCTTAACGTGGCTGTAAATGATCTGCTCATGTCAGTTGCTGGAATGTTCAGAGGTCTTGGTGTCATAAGTCCTGTTTTCCTGGACAACTCAGAGGATGGTGTCAATGCTTTCTGTCATACCTATGCGATATTCATGAACTCGGTCACGTGAGTTCATTCAATGAACTCAGAATTTTGATTCCTGCAGTTAAACTGTTCGACTGCAGAAAACACAGTTCTGCACAGCAAAATTGATGATTGTTAGTAAAAGTGTTCTTTGTATAACAGATGTTGAAGTTGTTCCGCTACATTGTCTTAAATATTGTATTTTTGAAGTACTAAGCGATAATAAATACCAAGGCAATATTTAAAAGAAACTGACACACTCCTTAAACGATGTTGTTGTTGTTGTTGTTGTTGTTGTATTTAAAAGACACCAATACACTCCTCCTCCTCCTGCAGGTCTGCGTGTATGCTTGTCCTCCTACCACTAACAATTGACCGCTTCCTTGCTATAGTGTTCCCCTTGCATCACAGATACCTTATAACTAACGAGAGGAGCAGAGTCCTTGTCATGGCAACATGGCTTCTTCCCGTCTTCTTACTGATTTTTGACACTTTCACTTTCCTGCTCGGACAAAAGAAGGTAACCTTCTACTTTAAATTCAGTGTTTCTATCATACTTTTATCTTAGTCATATTTTCAGTGTTTCTATCATACTTTTATCTTAGTCATACTTTTAAAATCGTTCTGGTAACAAAATGTGGAATTTGAGCTAATTCAAGTTATAACCTTTTAACAATTGGAATATGTATCCGTTTCAGATTGTCTTCGACCCAAAATACCACCGCTGTGTAAGCAAAGACAAGGTGGAATCTGCCGTGGTACAGGTTCTAGCAATCATCCTCCCACTTATCATAATTCCCTGTATGTACACCATAATGCTGGGTACCATTTGTCACCACAAAGTTAAGTGCAAGAGGTTCTTCTTAACTGCCACTGCTATTGTGGTTACTGGCCTTATAGCCTACCTACCCTCAGCACTTGCCAGCATGTTCGATATTCCAATGAGCTACGAGTTTTCTCAGGTGGCTACTGTCACGTTATACTATTCCAGTTCCAGTGTTAATCCGCTTGTTTACTTCTTTTTTCACCCTAAAACTAAGGACGCTATTACTGTAGCATCAGCAGGAAATGGACTTGTAGTACCGTCTAGAAGTTGTGCAGCAAGTCCAGCACATAGTCCAGCCATGGGGAGGGCAATAAGACTTGAAACTTTAGCGTGTAAAGAGGCAATATCAGTGTTTGATAAAGTTTAATGGACACTATCATGAAACAGTCTGACAGTTAATCATGCAGTTCATAACTTTATGTAGAATGATAGAGTTCAGAAAAGCAGGATATAACAGAGATGATATGTAAGATGTAAATCCTCATTTTGAGGGATTATCATTTATCTAAGTATATTTTATGATATATCATTACAATTTGATACGTTATTTGCAAGGTCAAACGAGATATTCTTTTAGGTACTGCTCTTTTAATTTTTGCTCAGCCAACCACAGTAAAACTCCGCTTTACCGCGGAGTTTGGGGAAAGGAAACAGCCGCTGTAAATCGGGGTTTGCGGTAAATCGGAATTTTGTTTATTCGCATTATGCAATATGCATGTTAAATGTTAATAATGATTGTTAAACCATATTTGTGGAAAGGAAATGGCCGCGGTATATCGGGGTTTGCAGTAAATTGAGGTATTATTGTATGTAAACGCCACCGCCAATTATTACTACTAACTCATCTGTAATCATGTGTTCATCAAACCTTTCAATCTCTTAATCAAATCGGTGTGTTTCCTTGTATGCACTTAATGCTATTTAAGTTCAGAGAGGGGGTTCACCCTGATTTTTTTGTGAAACTTGGTTTCGAGATAGCAGTTGACCAACAAACTATGACCAGTGACCAAACTTTTGAGGGGGTTCCGGACCCCAACCGCCAAACGGTGCCCGCGGGGCAGCCACGCCCATATTTGGTCCAAATCAGGCCCAATTTAGCCAAATACCCTGAACATGCCCAAAACCCAGATTTTAGGTGCTCTACTTGTAGCTAGTGGTCCCCTGAACTCGTATATGAATTTTCATCAAGATTGGACAAAAAAATGACTGAGTTATGAGCTAAAAACTATATGCCCATATTTGGGCATACGCACGAAATTTGATCGATTTTGGCCCATAAATTGGTCAAATATCAATATTTTTGAATGAAATTAACTTTATATGAAAGGTAAGCCTAAACTACACATTCTCTATGATTATCAGCTCAATATCTACCTAACTGTGGATTCTGTGTTCAAATAATCGCAAAAAATGAACAAAATCGCCCATATTTCAGTTCGCGATATTTGCAAAAGTGACTTCGCTCAAAACAATAGAACTCAATAGGGTTTCAATATTTTTTCATGAAATTTTCAGAATCAACGTAGAATCGCCTCATGACCTTAAGTTTTGTATTAGAATTTTGAGTTAGGCCTTTAAAAAAATTTGGCGGCCAAATTCTGAAAAATGCCCGGCAAATTTTGGAATTTGGCCGCCAAATTTTTTTAAAGGCCTAACTCAAAATTCTAATACAAAACTTAAGGTCATGAGGCAATTCTACGTTGATTCTGAAAATTTCATGAAAAAATATTGAAACCCTATTGAGTTCTATTGTTTTGAGCGAAGTCACTTTTGCAAATATCGCGAACTGAGATATGGGCGATTTTGTTCATTTTTTGCGATTATTTGAACACAGAATCCACAGTTAGGTAGATATTGAGCTGATAATCATAGAGAATGTGTAGTTTAGGCTTACCTTTCATATAAAGTTAATTTCATTCAAAAATATTGATATTTGACCAATTTATGGGCCAAAATCGATCAAATTTAGTGCGTATGCCCAAATATGGGCATATAGTTTTTAGCTCATAACTCAGTCATTGTTTGTCCAATCTTGATGAAAATTCATATACGAGTTCAGGGGACCACTAGCTACAAGTAGAGCACCTAAAATCTGGGTTTTGGGCATGTTCAGG